TGAACCCTGAAAACTTTCTAAGAACTATGAAATACTTGTAACCCAGTCCAAATACGATGAATATGACAGGTACCAGACCTACGTGACAACGAAGGTGCACAGAAAAGCTCTAACCACAATGTCTTTAGGTGCCTCCTCTCACCAAGGAAATAGGAACCTACTGTATTAAACCAGAGCTATCAGTATGACATGAGAAGTGAGTCAGGAGAGACCAGTTCCCCATTTACATTTGTATGAGTGTCAATAATCTTCAGTAGTATTATTTTTCTCCTAATTTAATAAAATTCATGTTGGTACTAACTTTTGATAATGCTGACAGGCTTTAGGCAGACATAAGCTACAAAAATTCCTGAAGTGTCTTAAAAGAAGTGAGCAAAGGAGGATTCCTAAGTAGTACCCTGCTTCCTCACCAGAATTTAACAAGGTATACAAAACCTAGACCTGAGAACACATCACAAATATTGGGTAGTTGGAAAAGCCATGACGTATTTTTGTTTTTCCATGCAAAAATGCGTCATGACTTTTCCGATGACTCAACAGAGTTTTGACCTTCTCAGAGAGGTTTAAATGATCTGTTTCTATGTCTGCCTTCCCCAGTAGATAAAAAGGTGCTCAACAGTAAGACTGGCTGAATCGATGAAGCATCGCCCTCTAGAACAGTATCTCATCTGCAGAAGACCACAGGGCTTAACCATCTCCCAAAGTACTGGGTCATCGGAACAGTCATGACGTATTTGTTTTTACATTTTTCTACTCAAAAGATGTGTTACGACTTTTCCTATGACCTACCATTTCATTAGGTTAGTAGTCAAAAGCAACGTATCTAATCAGAAAAGTTTCTAATGAGCAGTAAGTAAATAATAAAATGAACGTGGAGGAAATACACATGGGCACGGATGCACACAATTTAAAACTCCAACTACATTTTGTCAGAAAAAGGTATTAAAATTGACAGTCTTGGCAGTCTTAACATGGCCTATGCAGAAAACCAAAGCTTCGTTTTCCAATGTGTAAAGTAAATGAATCACCTCAGAAAGAGCTGCAGAATGTTCAACATCCCCAATCTGATAAAGTCTGTCTGTGTCAATACTGAGTATCTGGGAATGAGTCACTTTTCCTCCAGCACCAGTCAGTATTTCATCAGAGTTGCTCTGCAAGGATATCCTCCGACGTTTGGAGGATGATTTTGTAGCAAACACAGACTGCTGACATTGACCAAGACCTTCCTTTTTGGCTATAAATGAAAAACAAAATAAAACATTACATAGGCATAAATGTTTAAAGTTATCATTTAAAACTCTTGTATATAGTAGTAATTTTAGTACTGCTTAGTGCTTGAGTCTAAATGAATTATCAACCAAAAGAAAAATACAGTATATACTCTTTGATTCAAAATAAGGAAATCTAAATAAATGGCACAAGTGAACAGGACAGGGACCAGCAGGTGGCATGGTGGTTAAAGCGCTGAACTCCCACATGGCTGACCACGGTTTGAGTCTCAGACCTGGTGGCTTGAAAATCATGCTGGGCATGTGTGCATAGGTGTGAAAGGGCCAAGGAGGAGAATGGAGGAGAAGAGGCTGTGGTGTGGCCAGCACCCCCAGGGGGGGTGATTTCTCACTCTCCCTCCTTCTCTCCAGTGAGTGCACACACCCTATGGCAAGAACTAAAAAAAATTAAAAAAAAAAAAGTGAACAAGACTATTACAAATAAATTTAGATATTACAATGAAGTTTTTTCAGGCATCAAAATGTACAAAGATGTATTGATATACATTTGCATATCTCATTAGTATCTTCCAAATCTGCCAAGGAAACATTCATTTATAATATATTAAAGAATGTGAGTACATCCTAATACGGATATGTTTGTACATGTATTTTAGGGAAAAAAAAAAAAAGAACAACGTAGCTCAGTTCTTTCTGGCTACAAATAAAGAATTAATTGCCTGCCGAATTATAATAATGATTTTAATAAAATAATTTTTTAAAATAATTATTTATTTTAATTTATTTATTCGTTCATTGATTTTTTTTTTTTGAGAGATTTTCACTGTAGTGCGCGTGCGCTCGCCAGACAGACAGAGAGAGACATAGAGACAGAAACCGAGAAATCATCCCCCAGGGGGGATGGTCACACTGCAATCCCTTCTCCTCCATTCTCCTCTCGGGATCTTGGGCACGCATGCACACGCACCCGGCGTGAGTTTTAAGCCACCGGGTCTAGGACGCAAACCGCGGTCCACTACGTGGGAGTCCAGCGACATAGCCATTACGCTAACTGCTGGTTCCCTCGTTCATTGATTTTTAATTTGATCAGAGAAACACACACAGTGAGGGGTGGGGGTGGGTGCGGGTAGAGAGAGAGAAAGCCACCAGGTCCGGGACTTGAACTGCAGTTGGTCATATGGGAGTATCCAGCACCTTAGCTGCCTTAGGCACCACACCACCTGCTGGTCCCAATAAAATAAATTTTAAAATGCAGTTCAAGGTCTGACTCTGTGGTACAGCAGTAGCACAGTGCTTAGGAGAAGTAGGATCCCACATAATGACCACACTTTGAACCCCCTGCCCAAAGAGAGGGAAACTCATCAGACATACACGTGAGTGCCAGAGATCTGACAGGCTAGAAAACTAGAGGGAGGACATGCAGCAGGACCAGACCCTCCACAGGGCGTTTCTCTCTCTCACTCTCATGTGCACATGTACGTGCCTGCAATAAACCAGAATAATTTTTTAAAAAAAAGTAAAAATTGAAACACTATGTAAGATAACATATCACAAACACAAATGAGTATATCTAAATGGGTCGTGTACTGCAGAGGCTGAAGAATCCAACTTGCGTTAGGTTAACATCACATGACCCACAAGGAAAAGAAGAAATAAACCTGAAGACGGTTTCAGAAATGAAAACAACATCATTTGAAACTGCAGAGTGTAAATTACTAGAGGAGAGATTATGATGAGTATAGCAGGGCCACCGTTTTGTCAAATTCTGGTGCTTGACATCTTTTGTAAGTGAAAAAAATCAAAAGTGACTGAATAATCAAATAAATGACAAGAGTTATGGTAAAGAATGTGGCAAACTGTGAAGAAACAAATCAGGTTGGACATACCTGTTCTTAAAGCCAGGATTTGGTGTCTAGTATTAACATAAATCTTTGCCAAAATTAATAATAATTCTATAAAAATCAAGGTTTACACATTCAAATCAGCCCCATGACATATTCCACAGCTGTAATTAGCTCTGACATTATAAAACTTAAATCTTAAATTGTGATCCTGTGGAAATTGGAAATGTAGGCTCAGGAATAAAAAAAAGAAAGGAGTCTTTTTTTTTTTTCCCTTATGAGAGAGAAGAGAGGAAGAAAGCAGGGGGTAGGGGGAGGTAAGTAGAGACATTTTTCTGACTAGGTCTCTTTGTGTGGTGACTTTCCTGAGCCAATCTCCCAATTAACTAGGATTAAAGGGCATGCAACCATGCCTGGTGGGTTCAGGCTGGCCCAGGAACTGGGCCCAGGTCTCCCATGTGGATTCCAGCCTCCCAGGTGATGCAGTTACCTATGTACCTCTGCAGCGGAGCCAAAAACAATTCTTTCTACTCACTCAAGTCTGTTGTCTTCAATGTTCCCTTTGCCTCTGAAAATTCTGGATAATCAGCTATTTTCTCGTTTTCCTTTATAGACAGAAAAGCCGACTGGAAGGCAGATATTCGCTCTTTTAATGAATTAACATTTCGATACAGTACAGGGCTTCCCTGTTAAAACACAAAAACACAAAGGGTATTATAAATCAAATTAAATACAGTTCCCATAGTCCAGACCTATAATCACTGAATCCAAAACTAAATACACAAAGGCTTTTTGTCAATCAAAGGAAATGAATTAGTGTAGCAGAATCCCTTCTTCATGGAATTATAGTTTCAGTTTGAATATTTAGTGTGCTGTAATGATCTTAGTTGCTCCTCTCCAAGTTTCTTTATTTATACACATATATTTTAAAATATGGATATATTTGCCAGAGGGTATGTGTACTTGCCAGAGAGGGCGGGGAGAGAGAAAGAGAGAAAGGACTCCCCAATGCGATATGGTTCTCCATCTGATTAGGATTTGGGACAAGCATGCGCCCAAGCCTGACATGTTTTGTAGGCTGCTGGGACTGGTCACCTGTCATGTTTGACTTGTCTCTCCTAAACACTACATCATGGCTGGCCTGCTCCCCCAGTTTTTAGCAAAACCTGAGCAAATAATAATAACTGATTAGGATATATAGATATAGAGATGTGTCACTAGTGATATGCCGGATAATACTGATACTGTTGAGCCTACAGATCATGCTAAGAGAAGTCTGGGCAGATGTGTATGTGTGTTCAAGACCCAAGGGGAGAATAGAGGAGAATGGACTGCAGTGTCGTCATCTCTGTTAGGGGATGATTTCTCACTTTCCCTCTCGCTGTCTGTCTCTCTCTGGTGAGTACATGTGCCCTATGGCAAAAACCTTAAAAAAAAGAAAAAGAGAGAAAGAGAAAGAGAGAGAGAGAGGGAGAGAGAGAGGGGGAAAGGGAGAGAATTCTGAGGGGGTTAAGGATTTTTCTTTCATAACTCATAATCTATTACATGAGACAGCCTCAGCAGATAAAATTTGAAAGGGAAAAGGACAAAAGCATTTCTGAGCCTAGCCTAAAAACATATACGGAGAACTCAAAAATGTCATGAAAAAAATAATGGAAGTAAAGTACAAGTTTATTCTGGTGGAAAAAAGTCTAAATTCATGCATTTTTCATGATACAGACTTTTCATGAACATTTTGAAGACCCTTTGTATAGTGGGCACCAAGAAAGCACTGACTCCTGCAGCTGGGCAGAAAAAAAGAGAGGGATCTGCCTATCTAGAGATTTTACCAACAGCTGTGCTGAAAGCATCCCTCGGAAGTCATCTTTGATGCCTCCGAAACATTGAAGTCTCAGCCAACTTCCTTCAATCCGAGCAGGTCTCTCCTCATGGCCAGCTCTCACGTGCCTTCCATCCCAGGAGGCCAGAACAAGATACAGAAGGTTCCACGCTAGCTCAGACATCCACTCTCCCCAGCTAAATTTTCCTGATTGTATGAGACCTGGAGGACACTAACTTCCTTAGGGCTGAAAGCCAGCCATTCGCTTGAAATAAAAAGTTAGATAAAACCAGCACAGGTATCCTCTCAAAATCCTGCCAATGGAGTTCCAGTCAAAGGCTGATAAGATGTAATTTATACTAGCAGCAATAGACATACCAGATAAGGCAAATAGTAGAAAATTTAACTGCTCTGTTTATATACAAAATAAATTACTGATTAAGTTTTTTATTTAAGTTTTTACTTTCCCCTTTATTATTTGGGATATTAACATATTTCCACCAATACAGGGAGTTTGTGGCAATTTTAAAAATTACACCAGGAGGCTAAAATAAAGTAAAAAATGTCCTCCCTATAAAATATCACAGGGAGAAAAAGCATTTAAAATGGTGACCTGTTCACACATTTGATTCTACTCCTACACTTAAATATGTTCATAAAGCCAACTTCTATTACATAACACAACATTTCAGTTTCAAGATAAATACATATGACATAAACATTTAATATGCATAAAACGTTTGTGGTCAATCCATTCATATGAGTAACAAACAAAGATTATCTTAAAGTCATACAATTTACTGGGTTAAAAATGCATCTGACAACCTAATACCTTAAATATGCTTTTTGCACTCATATTTGAATTTGGTATAAGATAGATTTAGTATCTAAGGAACATGGAGCACTTTAAAATAGTGCTCAAAACAAATTGTAAGTTTCCCTAATCAAAATGATTTATTTCTGCTTTCCACTGGAGGAAAAAAAAGTCATACTCATTTACAAAGAAAAGAAATCTGGCTCCCTTAGATCATGAGGACAGCCTTCTGTCAAACTTTATTATTGTTATATGTTATGGTAATCTGTCATCAGCAATCTTTGATTTTGTCACTGTTAATTATTTTGGGGTGCTATAAATCATCCCCAAGTAACATAGCAAGCTGTTTTTTCTTTTATTCCTTCCATGAGAAAGAGAAACAGAGATAGAAAAAGAGAAAAAGACCGGCACCCCAATAGGGTTCCCATGCCAAACCCATCCTGCCTTACCCAGCTTGGACCATGGGCAGTGTGCATTCCTAGTGTGCTGAAGATCCTGGGATATGGACCCAGACTTCATATCCCTGTGGATCCAGCTGCACCACCACTGCACCAACTGGCCCCCAAATGGCAAACTTAATAAATGTGAGTATTTTGACTGCTCCATTGACTAGCAGTTTTTCCAGACTGCTCCTCCTCTGGTTCTAGTCCCAAAGACACAAATTTGAAATTAGGGCAGTTAATAATCCCAAAATGGCCTCTATGTGTTCAACTGAAAGCAGCATAAGTCTCTCACTTTATTTTATTGTTTTTAAGAATTATTTACCTAACTTTATTTTAGTAGTAGTATTATTTTAATATGACCAGAGCGGGAAAGTGAGAATGCAAGCTATCATGTCTGGGACTTAACCATGGTCAGCCATGTGAAAGTCCAGCACCTTTACCACCATGTCACCTGCTGGCCTCAGATCTCTCACTTTAAATCATAAGCTAGACATGATTAAACTCATCGAGAGGCATGTCCAAAGCTGAGACAAGCTAAAAGCTAGGCCACTTACGCTGGTTAGCCAAAATGTGAATGCAAAGGGAAAGTTCTTGAAGGAGATTAAGAGTGTTATTCCCTTGAATGCATCAATGATATGTGAAAACTTTTTATTGCTGATATGGAAAAAGTTCCAGTGAATAGAAATTAAATCAGCTATAACATTCCCTTACACCAAGGCCTGATCCAGAGCAAGGACTTAATTCTCTTCAATTTCATGAAGGCCGAGAGAGGTGGAAAAAGCTGTAAGAGGTGGAAAAGCTAGCAGAGGCTGGTTTAAGGAAAAGACTCCATCCCCAAAACATAAAAGTGCAAAGTGAAGCAGCTAGCGCTGATACATTAATAGAAGTTGCAGCAGGTTATCCAGAAGATCTAGCTGAGATCATTGAAGAAGGTGGTTACACTAAACAACACATTTTCAATGTGGATGAACAGTTTTCTGGTGGAAGAAGATTCCACCTAGGACTTTCGCAGCTAGAGAAAAGTCAACGTGCCTGCCTTCAAATTTCAAAACGTATCCTGACCCATTAGGGACTACCAAGCTAGAGACCATAAGTTGAAGACAATGGTCATCTATTATTCTGAAAATCCTCTGAAAGTCCTGAGGAATTATTCTACATCTACTTTGCCTGTGCTCTATAAATGGAACAATAGAGCCTGGATGATGGCATATCTGTTTATAACATGGTCTATTTATTTTTTCTTTTTTAAAATTTTGCTAGAGGGCATGTGTGTTCGATGAAGACAGAGAAAGAATGAAAGAAAGCTTCCCCTATGGGGCATAGCCACACCACAATCCCTTCTCCTACATCTTTATCTCCTTTTAGGATTTTGAGCAGACATGAACATGTGCCCAGGGTGTTTCTCAAGCCTCCAGGTCTGGGACTTAAACTGCAAAGTCGGCCATGTGGGATCCAGTTGCCTCAACTACCAAACCACAGGCTGCCCCAGTTCACTCACTATTTGAAGCCCACTGTTGAGACTTACTGCTCAGGAAAAAAAAAAAAAGATTTCTTTCAAACCAGCAGATGGTATAAAGGGTAAGGCTGCTGGATGCCACATGGTTGATGCACAGTTCCAGTCCTGGACCTGGTGGCTTGAAAAACATGCTAGATGTGTGTGCATGCACACCCACAATCCTAAGAAGAGAATGGAGAAGGGACTCCAGCATGGTCATCCTCTCTGGGAGTTGTTTTCCCACTTTCCCTCCTTCTCTCTGTCTCTCACTCAGGTGAGTGCAAGCTCACGATAGCAAAAAACAAACAAAACAAACAAACATCTCAGACTATCTTGCAATTGAAAGAATCTTTTACTCATGCATGATTTTGTAACAGAATGCTCTAGTCATTGAAAAAATATTGGCTGACTGAGTTATGTACATCTTCCATATGTTGAGGTATTTTACTAGGTAGTATCAAAGCTTCACATTGATTAATAACCCCACTGATCAATGAGAAAAGTCTAACTATTGGGAAGGTATCAAGCTCACGATGGTAATACATTTTCCCGAATTCTAAAGTTTTTTTGGAAAATGCAAATTTTCTCACTGGTAAAGAATATTTCAGTTTTTGTAGCAGATTGAGTTTGTTTTTAAGAGATGTGGCTCTCTTCCCAAGTCTCGCTAATCATGACTTGTTGATCAAATATATTTTCAAATAAAAGTAATGTTTCACACACACACACAAAAAAATAGTGCGCAGTTCAGCAAACAGCTCAAAATTAAAAAGAAAAGAAAAAAAAAAGGCATACCCATGATTTTCCTAGAAACATCTATCATACTTCTACATATGCTTCTGAAGTGTTTGGTATATACTCCCTATTTAATCATACATAATTCTCTAAGGGTTGACACTTAATAAAATTTATCATTTTAACTGCTTCATCAAGGACATTTAGAAAGACTGGCATTCTTAGTATTTCCTGAGAATGCCTAGCAGCAAGGAATACAATGACAGCTTGATGTCACTGGCATGACTTATGCTTAGACACCAGCAATATCCCTTGTCACTGGTTTAGTGCCCTGAGAGCAAACACCAACACAGTAAAAAGCAAATGTCTAAGCAAATTACAAAAGTAGTTTTGACCTCCTGAAAGGGACTACGGGACGATCACGGGTCCTTTTTGCTGCCTGACCAACTTTCAGAACCACTGTCTCATGCATAGATAGTGCCTAAAACTGGAAAATGAAATGGCAATGCAAGTAAATTATTTTAAAATAGGAAGGTCAATGCTAAGAGTCAATGACAGCCTATCTGTCCACAATATGGTTTACTGAGGTTGTTCTTCAAGAAGGGTAAGCTGGGGCTTACATCTCCCATAATGAGCACTGTGCTATTATTTAAGGGCATGTATTACTTTTGGTTAAAAATTTGAAGAAAATAGCTAAATACATCCTTATCAGCAGACAAATAATTTGCTCCTTTTCTCAAGGGTGTCCCAAGTACACTGTGTTCTGGGAGATCCCAGACTCTTCACACCACAGAGCAGTCATGAAAAAAATCAGAAACTTAGTGATAAGCTATGATATTAAAAAGCTGGAAAACAGTGCCTCATCTCATTAGAGAAAAATAGATATTAACTGGAAAAAAATCTGCAAACTAAAGCAGAAAGCTCCTATAGAAAGCTATTTCTACATATGTTTTTATAACTCTTTATATGCCCATGCTCGACATCACCATTTACAATGACTACCTACTTTACGTAGGACACACAAAAAATATTTTCTCTCAAGATGCCAAACAGGTGAAGATGCACTAGGAGGCAGAAACATTGCACAAAAGCTTCATAATGAAGCTACACATTTCCTATGGGAATTCATGATAGAACTTAGAAGAAAAATCATACCTGATAAGGGGAGTCCTGTGTTAAACGAGATCTCTCAGAATTCTTTAAACTGCGCTGCTGAGCAATGAAGCGAATCAGATGGTTTGTTTCAGGAGAGCCCCGAACACCAACTGTGGAACGTCGCCTAGATTTTTTAAGGTACGATGATGATTTGCCTGTAATGAAACTCTCTTATGAATTGGAAGAGAACAAGACAATCATCAGCAACATGCCTAACACCTATGATACCTCAGCCCCAGAGAAGCATAATTAAATATGTTATAGAAATCAAAGAATTATTGGCAACGTTTATGCGAGGGGGATTTCAAAGAGTTGGTGGAAAAATGGAATTAAAGTTAGAGTTTATTTTGGTGCAGTTTTTGAAAACTATGCATACGCTTTTCATAATATGCATTTCCCGTGAACTTTTTGAAGACTGCGTGTATCAGGTGGATACAAATCTGTGTTTTATTCTGATTTAGCTACTAGAACAGAGCCTCACACATAGAAGGAATTATTAAAGAGTTGAGTAACTTCGTAAATATAATTTTCATTTTGGTTCCATGTTTCCTGCACATAGAGGTAGATAATAGCTTGCCTTTGACTAAGAACTTCTTTTTCTGAATTAGTCTTATCCTCAAGGACTGAAAGCAAAGATCTTCCCCAGGTCCATGTAATCTCATGTTGTTAATTCGTCAGATTTGGTTTCTCTTTGATATCCACTGTCCTGTAGCATAAAACCCTGAATTTTTAGCCACATGCCTAAGCACACAAGATGAATTCAGATTTTTAAAGTTCTCAGTGGTGCTCTTAAGAAGGGAACACAGAATGCTGTCCTACTCTGGCCTTATCTCATTTATGCATGACCTGGTCTGGTGCCCTTTGACTCAGTCGCCCATGATCCTCCATTTCCAAATGCTGTTCTCTAATCCATTCCATTCCCCTATTTCTTTCTTCTTCATCTAAGTCAGACTTCACGAGTGAATCTCATTTCTACTATGTGAAGGCCCTCAGTCAATTTTCTCTTTGATAATTACAAAAAGAGGCACACCCCAATCTTTTGATGTTGTATTTTTCTTCATTGTTCTTCAACTTTCTCTTATTTTGGCCATTCATAAACATAGAATGTATTATTATCCGTATCAAACACCTGTTCATATCCCAAGTGTCAGGTCAAAAACGAATCCCATACATACATTCTTTTCCAGTAGGGCTGGAGCAAAACTATTACGTACATTATTACCCTAGGGCCATGAGACACTGTCACCTCTGCTCCACTAAATGAACTGTATATGACCTGCGCACAGAAGTATCCCTAAACAAGCAAGTTTACAGGTGTCAATCAAGCAGTATGAAAGGGTAAATGAATAAAATTCAAGTACATTAAAGTTATGTTATGAAAAGCATCTACTATAGAAATGACAACTTCACTGACCTGAAGTGTTCTTAACAAAACTTTCAGGCGTAATTCCCAGTTGCTCTACCGTTACTGTGGAAAAGTTCAAAGGTGATTTAAACGGATCTTGTGTGCAAAGATTAGGAGTTAATTCTGCTGCAGGCTTCTGAGGAGTCACCAGCTTTCCAGTTCCCAAAATGAAGGAGACATTTTCTGAAACCGACATGTTTAAAGAGCTAAACATCATCATCAAGACAAATACCTTAACTTAAAATTTCACAAGGAGGAAGATCACTACATACCAGCATTATTAATAGTAGACTCCTTAGTTTCAGAGTCCTCCTGAGCTTTTAAATTGGTATCCATCTAAGATACAGGGGGAAAAAAAGATCGCATAAACAAAATTAATGTGATTAGACCAAGAGCCTCATTTAAGACTGAATTCTAAATCAATACCGCCATAAAAATACATGCCATGAAAGTACATTTGGAGAACAAATTAAAGCGAAATAAATGAAAGAAACTGTTGTTTAGGACGAAACAAAACAGATCCCATAAACAAGCCAGGGCTTTTCAATTTTAGCGGATAACCGAATCATCAAGTACCCCGTCAAGGGTGCAGCTTTGTACATTTCCAGAAATTCTGTTTCAGCAGGTCTGGATAGGCCCAGAAATCTGCATTTTAAGGAGCACCCCCGGAGAGGCCTGAAGAGCACCACTATCTGCTTGTGAGCGGGATCAGTCGAACGAGCTTCGGAGAAGCAGTCCGGTGAGCAGCACTGTTGTGCTACCGTTGAAATCCGAACCAGGACACTAGCCTACCTCTCACGCGCAACTCAAGTGCTCCGACGCCTCGGTTTATCCGGAAAGCTCCGCAGCAGACTGCAGTCGCGGTTGTCGAGCCTTCTGAAACCCGGATCTTGGGTTCAGAAGCTTAGGCTTGATGAAGTATCTGCTGTCAGTCAGGGAGGTTCTGCTCCCCAGCTCCCCAGCCCGGTGTCCAAGCGGCCTAGAACCTGACCTCAGCCCGCGTTCAGCCCACCCCGCCGGCTCCACCGCCTCCGCCCGCCTCCCGATTCAAATCGCCGGCTCCGCCTTCTCCGCGACCGCGGGTACTCTTGGAATCTCTACGCCGCTGTCCTCGCACGTGTCGGTGCGCACCCCGACCTCTCTCACACCTCTGCCCCGCAGTCTGAGGCAGAGGAGCACCTTCCTGAACTCCATGAGAAGCCACCTGTAGCTGCAGGAGACTCAATGGACATGATGCGCCTAACTTGTGACCACGGGGACTATTTTACCACGGAATGACGCGGAGCAACCTTTCGGTTAGTGTTTGGACCGCCTCCTGCCTACTGATTGGATCATGCAAACTTCGAAAAGACTCATTGGACCAATCCTGACAAAACGACGGGGGCTCTTACCCAATCAGCCAGTCCCCACGGCAGCCGTTTCTTCCGATGGTTGGATAAGTGGGCGGGGCTAAAGCAGAGGGCGGTGCTGACTGGTGTGAGGGTCACGTCTAGCGCTCCACCTTCTTCCTCTAAACCCCGCCTCCGTATGCAGATAAGCGATACCTAGAAATGAGTGTGCGCCTGCTCAGTAACGTTCCGAGCCGCCGTTCGGTTCCAGGTTCTGTTCTGATTGGCGGACACTTCTTCCCGTCTGCTAGTGTACAGTCACTCTTCCCTCCCTCCACCCATCGGGCCTAGTCTGAGCCCACCCAGTGCAGGGCGTTGATTGGCTGAGTTCGGGCCGCTTCCGCGGGCTGATTGGAGAAGCTCAGTGTCAGTCTCGGAGAGGTGGGGGAAGGGCCACAGGCAGTCTGAGGAGCCTAGGGGCGGGGTGGGAAGGAGGACCGGCCAACCCGGGAGTGTGGGACCGAGAGTGCGTGTGTGGTGTGTCCACAAGAGAAGGAAGGTGGCGAAGGGAGGAGAGCTCGAGTGGGTGGAGGGAGGGGAAGGGCGGGAGGAGAAAAAGGTGGGAGGAGGACAAGGTGGGAGGGTGGCGACTCACTCAGGACCCAGCGGGGGCAGCGCGATGAGGCGGGTGACCCTGTTCCTTAATGGCAGCCCCAAGAATGGAAGGGGAAGGGGGTCGGGAGGGGGCGCGGCTGGCCGGCCGTGGGGGCGAGGGCAGCGGACGCCGGCCCGACTGCTGGGCTCACCCCGAGCCTGCACTTAACTCAACTGCCTGGGACACCAGCGCAGGTGCAGCGGCTGCTCCATGGTCCCCGCGGCCTCCTCCCGACCCTCGGGATCTCACCCCGAGCCTGCCCTTAACTCAACTGCCTGGGACACCAGCGCAGGTGCAGCGGCTGCTCCAGGTTCCCGAATCCAGGGTGCAGGTCCAGGGGGACGGAGGGGACGGAGGGCCGCTGTCCCCGGAGCGCTCGGTGTTGATGTACGTCTTCCCCTAGTCCGCCAAGACCCCGCTTCCTCCAGCCCTGCTAGAGAAGGCGCCTGTGTCCACCTTTCGTGCTGAGTAATGGTGTGGACACCAGCGCAGGTGCAGCGGCTGCTCCAGGTTCCCGAATCCAGGGTGCAGGTCCAGGGGGACGGAGGGGACGGAGGGCCGCTGTCCCCGGAGCGCTCGGTGTTGATGTACGTCTTCCCCTAGTCCGCCAAGACCCCGCTTCCTCCAGCCCTGCTAGAGAAGGCGCCTGTGTCCACCTTTCGTGCTGAGTAATGGTGTGCTCGGGAAAGTGGTAGTGATAACTTAAGACATGTAAGAGTGCTAAGGTAAAAAGAAATAAACTACCAGTGATCGAATAAAATATTCTTCCATCCGAGGTCGAATAGAGGGTTTAAAAATTGAGACTTTTTCTTGATGATTTCCCTCCCTTTTAGGTGCCCCAGATCCTCCAAGCCCCGCCGCCGCCAAACTCTGTACTCGTTCTATTATTTTGTCTTATTTTGGTTCCTTAGAGGACTGTGACAATAGACCGAAATGGATCGATTTGACAGTGGCCTTTGCTGTGTTAGGCCTTTGTTGAGGGCGTGGTGCTAAATAGTTTTCCAATGCTGGAGCAAGCCCAAATGACTCCTGATCCTTCTCAGCCTCTTGCCCCACCCATGAAAGTTGTTCTGCTTCTTTGGAAAATTTTGACTGTTCAAGGCATGCACGTTTATTCTCTGGCTTAATGATACTCAAAGTAACCAAGCCTTTAGAGTCTAAGGTAAAGGTTGGCCTCATTCTATTATTTGCCAAAATACTCTGCTCCTGCATATTCTGGAAACATTTTAAGACTTTAAATAGCAAAACTATCCAACAGCATGAAAAATAGCTTTCCAACTACTCTGCAGTTTGGAGTAAACACACTCGGAACATTTGAACCAAATCTGGTTTGTGGGCTATAATTTTTGTGTTCTTCTGGTCTTAGAGATTTAATACTCAGACAAAACAGAACTGGTATAAATTCAAATTCTTGAATTTCATGAATGCTGCATCAAAAATGTGCTTCACAAACTTTACATTACTTTTGACTGTTATTAACTATTTCTAAGGCAGTTTTGTTGTTAGCTACTACTCAATCTATAACTTTTTTTGGGGGGGGGGAGAGGTTTTTTTGCTATAGGGTGCGTGTGCTCGCCAGACAGAGACAGACAGAGATAGAAAGCGAGAAATCACCCCCCAAGGGGGGATGGCCACGCCGCAATCCCTTCTCCTCCATTGTCCTCTCGGGATCTTGGGCACGCACACGCGCCTGGCGTGAGTTTAAGCCACCGGGTTCGGGCCTCAAACCACGGTCGACTACTTGGGAGTCCAGCGACATAGCCATTATGTTAACTGCTGGTCCCTCAATCTAAAACTTTTACAGTTATAGGAAGAGAAATTTATTGGTAGTATTTCTTTTTTTAAAAAAGAATTGTTTTATTTAACTTTAGTTATTTTAACTTGACCAGCGAGGGACAGAATGAGAGAGAGAGAGAGTGAGGAGCCACCAGGTCTGGGATTCAAATCATGGTCAGCCATGTGGGAATCCAGCGCCCTCCACCACCACACTACAGATAATATTCTTAAGCAAAGTTACAACTGTATGTTCTCAAAAGCAAACCTCTGATTGACCCTTTTTTTCCCCATCTCTGCTAAGTTATTTCATGAGACAAAAATGTGTAGACCCAGCCAGCCAGAAATATTTATGTTGTAAATCTCTTCTGAGTCCACTGAATTTTGCTAGCAAAGATGACTGAGTTGATCTTTCCATATTTTTAATATTTTAAACCTATCTAGTTTTGAGTAGGTTATATTTCATTATTATTTATTATTATTTAAATTGTATTTACTTTAAAAATATTTTGCTAGGTGGGTCAGCAGGTGCTGTGGAGGTCTGCTGGATCCCACATTGTCTAGTACATGGTTTGAATCCCAGACCTGGTTGCTTGAAAAATCACACTGGGCATGTGTGTGTGCATACGCAAAGCATGGAGAGGAGAATGGAGAAGGAATTGAGGCATGGCCAACACCCGAGGGGATGATTTCTCACTTTTCCTTTTTCTCTCTTTTTGTCTCTCGTAAGTACATGTACCCTATAGCAAATCTAAAAAAAAAGGGGTTTTTATTGCTAGAAATCTCAGAAGATTTGAAAAAAATGCACCTCAAATACAGATAAATATGTTTATTACAAAGATCATAAAAAATCAAAACTGGAAAATACTAATAGTATTCAGTATTAAAAGGAAACAATGCATCATCCTTACTACTCATCTGGAGAACATATTTTAAACCAGAGTTATCAATTTTGTTTCCTTTCAGCTGATTTAAAGATATTGTTATAAATACTCATGACAAAAGAGCAGAATAATACAGTAATGATAGTATTTTATACACAAATACATATGAATTGATTATATTTAATTGGATTAGCTTGATTGTGACATGACTGACCATTAAGAACATTCAGGGCCAACTCTGACTTCAGGGTTAAAGCAGCCAGATTCCACATTGCTAATATTGAATCCTTGCCCCAGTCCCTTGAAAAACATGCCGGGCATGTGTACTTGAGTGCCTAAAAATCCCAAAAAGAGGGAGAGATGGAGAAGGGACTGTGACGTGATCATGCCTCATCGGAGGATGCTTTCTTCCTCTCCCTATCTTTCTCTGTCTCTTTCACTCTCTGTTGAGTAGCCCTCTTGCTCACACGCACATACAATGCAGAAACAAAGTGCTACTCTGAAATATACTCTGATTTTCCACCTACCAGTTAGAATATCTGTGTCACATTATCTTCTCATTTGCCTTCTTTCTAGTTTTGTTTCCGGGTCTTTAAGAATCATCAAATAAGTATCCTCCTTATAGCTTGTTAAGTGGTTGCCAGATTGTGAGCCATGAAGCCCCAGGTGGAGAGGTGAAGAGTTCTTACATGGTATTACATCATATGCTTGACATGTATTTTCTGTATTTCATAATGAATACATGTATCTAATCAGTATTTTTGATGTTGAAGATAGGACAATGCACACAGAAGGTATGTCAGATGATCCAGGAAGAAAATATACCTATTATTTATGTGTTTTACTTAAAAAATATAAAATAATATGCAAACTTGATTTTTTTCTAATCCAGAAAGACATAGATGCCTCCTACCACTGAAAAGGTCAGCTGGTCTCAAGTGTTCTGCGAGAAGAAAAGGCCTTCACATATGAGAAAGTTGTTAGTGCCTTTCTCACTGATTGATTCATGTTGATTGTGATATAGACACTTACAGGTGCCACATTAATATTTATATCATCCAGCTTTAACTAAATTAACCTTAACTAAGATGCTAAGTAGCTTTAAAAGATTCTTTAAAGGAAAAAAATTAAAAATGAAAAAAAAAAAAAAAAGACGCCTTCGAAGTGGGCATGGTGGTTTGGTGGTTAAGGTGCTGGATTCCCACATGACTGAATACATTTCAAGTCCTGGACCCTTGAAAATCACGCTGGGCATGCATGCATGTGTGCTCAAAATCTTGAGGAGAATGGAAGAGAAGGGACTGGGTGGTGTGGCCATACCCTGGTGGTGGTGGTAGTGGTTTCTTACTTGTTCTCTGTCTCTGGCAAGTGTGCATGCCTTGTGGCAAAAGCCTTAAAATTCTTTGGAAGAAACTGCAGATTGAAGACAATTATGCAAGCACGAGTAAACAAGAAAATGGAAAAGCTGCCACCTCTCCTACTATAAACATGAGATTAAAATAAGTGGATCTCTGGTCTGGCAGCAATAGCACAACGCTCTGTGATGCTGGGCTACATGGAAAGATCTTGGACTGGGAATCCTCCCTGTATATATGTAGGGCAGACAAAGGCCTACCTTTTATGTGGCCTGGCTGGCTGAGGCTGGGAGTGGATCTCAGCATCAAGATCTTCATGAGAACACCTCTCTCTCTCACACACCCATACTCTCTATCATAAAAGAAAGAAACAATAGAAACACTTGGAGAAGATTCAAAGGTTAAAAAAAATCTTAAAAAAAAAAACAAGCTAAACTCTTTGCATCTGAGAAGTCAAAGGTATCAAGTTTAAGTCCTGTTTAATAATTCCTATTAACAATCAACCTCTATGTATATACGAGGGACTTTTAAGAACCTTGTGAAAAACAATGGAATTGAAGTAGGAGTTTATTTTGGTGCAAAAATTCTGAAACCCATGGATAGTTATTTTTTTGTAATACTCATTTTCCACGGACTTTCTAGCAGACTCCTTATATTGTTGCTTAAAATATTAGCCAATGATAGGATGAGGTCATCATACTTAGCAAGACATTTAAAAATATTTTCCAGTACATGAAGGAAAAACGGCTTCAGATTGTATTTGGCAGAATCTCACTAGAATTAATAATATTTAAAGAGAAGTCTTACTGGTCAATTAATAGCCTAAATCAGTAGAAGTCCTCATACCTTTTTGACAGTCGTATGTACTTTGTAAGTTGTATATAGTTTATGAGTGGTATGTAGTATATAAACAATGTTTGAACACACTCCCAAAAACGTCTTACTGATGGAGTACATAGTCAAAGGTATCTGAAGCAGATAGTTCTAGAAAATTGGGATCTTTAAATTTTGGGGTAATTTTTTGGTTGTAAAGATTGTTCCAGGGATGGACCAGCAGATGGTGTGATGTTTATGTCACCGAACATCTGTGTATTTAAGTCCTGGACCCAGTGGCTTAAAACTCACGCTGGGTGTATGTGCACACATGAGTGCCCAAAATCTCAGGAGGAGATTGGAGGAGAAGGACTTGCAGCTTGGCCATCCTCCTTGGGATGGGGTGGGAGATAATTTCTCACTCTCTCTCCAGTGAGCACACATGCCCTATTGCAAAAACCTTAAAAAAAAAAAAAATTAGCTCCGAAAGTGTCAGTTATGCTTGCACCTTTCATCCTTTCTTCATCTCAGAATTCCCATTTTTTTTATTTTTTTTAATTTTTTTTATTTGAGGTTTTGTTTTGTTTGTTTTAAGGCAGGATCTTGCTGTCCTGATCCTGAAAAGCTGGAGGGCTGGAGAATGCGCAATGTGATCAGATCCTTTCAAGGACCTTTCTTTGATGTGCACCTACACCCTCTATGAGTAAAAAATTTTTAAATACTAATACTTAACTACAGGAGTGTAACTTAGATGGCTGTATTAAATTTGCATCCACGTTATGGTACGCATAGAGAAATGAAAGAAACACTGAGGAAGAAAGTTACTGGTAGGGTAAGGAGGGGATAATTAATATCCGGCCAAAGAAAGCCATGTAGAATAGACATACAAGAAGCAGAGATAAATAATAGGGGAGAGAAACATTTAGAAAATTCTTAGTATAATAGCAACTGTGATATAAGAATGGTGGTATTGGAAAGGAGAAGCTTATTACCCTCCCCTTACCGAACCTTACACCCATAAAAGTAGTTTGGCACATATTTTGGTCAGCCACTTTGTCCTTCGCACTCTGTTTCTTGCCTTACTCTCTGTGTACCCTTTGCCTTAAAACAATGAGGTTTGCTGTATGTGCTCTGTGCTTTATTTCTCCTCCTTTTCAACCAGGAATGTATGTGCAATAGCAATTCTAGACTCTTGCAGAAGTGAAAAATGACAGGAAATATGGAGTCATAGTCATTTAAAAAAAAAAAATGTTTTGAGGTTTTGCCATCGAGTGTGTGCACTTGCCAGAGAGAAGGAAAGTAAGAAATCACCCTCCAGGGAATCTTGAGCATGCATGCATACGTGCCAGGTGTGAATTTTTAAGCTATAGTGTCCAGGGCTCGAACTACAGTCAGCCATGGGGAATCCAGCACCTTACCCATCACACTACCTGTTGACCCCCGTTCCAGTTTTTGTTTGAGATAGATTTTTGCTACAGGGTATGTGTGCTCGCCAGAGAGACAGAGACAGGGAGACAGAAAGCAAGAAATCACACTCCCCCAGAGGGGATGGCCATGCTGCAGTCCCTTCTCCTCCATTTTCCTCTCAGGATTTTGGGCATGCAAGCACATGCACCCAGAGTTAAGTTTTAAGCCTGCGGGTCTGGGACTCAAACCACAGTTTACTATATGGGAGTCTAGCGACATAACTATTCCATCATCTGCTGGTCCCTCCATCCCCATTCAAGTTTTAATTATTTATGGTGTACCTGCTACAGACAAGACAATCTGCTAAGTGTTTTGCATTTTTTTTTAATTTGGTAAAATATATGTAACACAAACTTTACAATCTTAACTATTTTTAAGTGTATAACTTATTAACATTTAGTACATTCACAATGTGTGTGGCCATCCTCACTATTTATTTCCAGAACTTTGTCATCATTCCAAACAGAATGATTAAGCAATAATTAAGCAATAACTCTTCATTCCCATCTCTGTCTTGATAGCCTTTATTTTACTTCCTGTCTCTAAGAACTTGCCTTTCCTTTATTCTACTTTCTGTCTCTTAGAATTTGCCTTTTCTGAGTGTTATTTGTCCTTTTGTATGTCTGGCTTATTTCACTTAGCATAACGTTTTCAAGGCTCATTCATTTTATAGCATGTATCAGAATTTCATCCTTTTCAGACCTGACAAATATTCCTTTGTATGTATATTTCACATTTTGTTTATCCAGTCATCTGCTTATGGACACTTGGGTTATGGCTTTGTTTCTTATATTTGATTTAGTTCCTTTTAAACTGTACTTGCCCTTGACCCTTCCCCAGAATGTTCCAGCTTTCGGCGCTCTCCTGGCCTTCATCTCAGGTCCAAGAGAAAGAACCTGGAATTGGACTTTTTGAAAGATTGCATGCTCCCTGGGGGACCAGTAGTTAGCATAATGGCTATGTCGCTGGACTCCCACATAGTTGACCGCGGTTCACGTCCCAGATCCAGTGGCTTAAAACTCAATGCCGGGCACATGTGTGTGCGTGCCCAAGATCCCGAGAGAAGAATGGAGGAGAAGGGATTATGGCATGGCCATCCCCCCTCGGGGGTTGCTTTTTCCCTTTCTGTCTCTCTGTCTCTCTCAGTCTGTCTGGCGAGCACATGCACCCTATAGCAAAAAAAAAAAAGAAAAGAAAAAAATCTCTCAAAAAAAAAAAGATTGCATGCTCCCACATTAGCAACAACTCTCCCATGCCCTGCTGTCTATTTATTCATTTATTTAACTGAAAAATTAAGTGTCCAGGTGCTCTGCTCACTGGTAGACACAGAACCAGCCCAGATCCTCATTTCATGTGGTATCTTGTACAGTATTCTTGGGAATCTAATTAGCTCTTCATGCTTCATGTTAGCTCTTCATTAGCTCTTCCTCGTCTACTTTTTGTTCATAACTTTCAAAGGTCATAACTGGTAATGGTACAACCATACAAGTCAGCCACTGGGAACCCTCAGTGCAATTATGACCAGAGCACAGAATTCACTTACAAGTAGGGATTTGCAACTCCCAGCTTAAGCAGTTACATGTTATCTTTCATACATACACATACACACAAACACACACATACATATGTATGCACATTAGACTGTGATTCAAGGTAGGACAGATCAATTCATTGTCACCCAGTTATTTGCTATATTCAGAATGTTAGAGGAAAAAAAGAATGGGTCTATGTTAACTTTAGAACTAGAGCACTTTTTATCAAAATTTAAGATTATAGATTATTTTGTTCAGAGATAATTTCTTATTCTCTATTGATAGTTTTGGAATGGTTCAATATTAGGCAGTAAGTAAATATGAGTCATAGAAAAAAAGGACTGTTAAGAACCTTTTGGAGAGGTCAGCACGTAGTAGAGTGGTTACAGCGCTGGACTCCCACATGGCTGACTACAGTTCAAGTTCTGGACCTGGTGGCTTCATAATCATGCCAGGTGCATGTTCATGTTTGCTCAAAATCCCAGGAGGAAAATGAAGAAGAGGGGATTGTGGCATGGCCATTCCCCCTAGGGGGGTGATTTCTCACTGTCCCTTTCTGTGTCTCTCTCTCCAAAGAGTACATGTACCTTATGGCAACAAAACAACAAAAACAAAACTTTTGGACTTTCCTTTTATAAATGATAACTTCATTTTTTTAGTCTCATTGATATTGTGATGGTTTGTAATTTGTGAGTGGTGAAATTTATTATGTAAGTTGTTCAAATTAATGTTGTATGTTTACAGGTGGTTGCTGTTTATGGAACTTTATCTGATTTGCTTTCTGTGGCAAGCAGTAAACTTGGCATAAAAGCCACCAGTGTGTATAATGGAAAAGGTGGACTGATTGATGATATTGCTTTGATCAGGTAACCTTACCTTTTGATAAACTGTCAACAGTGTGTCCTTGGCTTCCTGATGCTCTGTTTCCCCTAAGAAGTAGTTTCTAAGTCATTGTTATGAATACAAAATTTTGGGGGCCAGCAGGTGGTGTGGTGGTTAACATGCTGGACACTCCCATGTGGCCGATCATGGTTCTAGTCCCAGACCTGGTGGCTTTCTTTCTCTCTCTCTGTCTCTGTTTCTGTCTCTCTCTCTGATAAAAATTTAAAAAATAAATCAATAAATGAATGAGTAAATAAAATTTAAAATAATTCTAAAAAAAAAAAAGAATATAAAATTTTGGCCAGTGATTACCTAGAATTTAGTCTTTAGAATTTAAGTCATTTGGACATAGGGTACATTGAGCAGATACTGTATTCCAGTACATTGATAGTCTTTCCGCATACTTCATATATGGTTATGAAGAAATTTCTTTGCAGTACTAGCGATCATTCTAATTAGGCCTACAGTTTTTAATATTAAAAATCTTATCCTTGTCTTTACTTTTATATGCTATTGCAGATTGTTAAATTACTTTTTAAACAATGCTTTGAATTTTATAAACATTATGGAGACCTACTTTTGTGAATATTTGCTGAGTAAGCTACAATTTTAACTAGAGGTATCACCAGTGAAACAACACAATAGTGTGCGAATTTTTTGTTTTATCTTGAAATATCTCAGGCAGATTTACTTCTATAAAACAAGCTTATGGTTCAACTCATTCCTTTCTCATAAGGTCAAAGAATTTTGGTTCAAAATGAGACTTAAAAGGGGACCAGCAGTTATTGTAATGGCTGTGTGGCTGAACTCCCACGTAGTCAACTGTGGTTCGAGTCCCGGACCCAGTGGCTTAAACTCACGCCAGGTTGCATGTGCGTGCATGCCCAAGATCCTGAGAGGAGAATGGAGAAGAAGGGATTGCTGTGTGGCCATCCCCTGTGGGGGGTGATTTCTCACTTTCTATCTTTCTGGCAAGCGCACATACCCTATATCAAAAACCTCTCAAAAAAAAAAAAACAAAAAAAAAAAACCAGACTTAAACAAGACCAGCTGATGGCATGGTAGTTAAGGTGGCTGGACCTCACATGGCTAACTACACAGTTCAAGTCCTAGACCTGGCAGCTTAAAAAATCACACTGAGTATGGGAGCACACATGCCCAGTATCCCTAGAGGAGAGGGTATTGTGGTGTAGTCATCCACTATGGAGGGTGCTTTTTCTCTTTCTTTCTCTCTACGGCATGTGCACACCCTATAGCAAATTTTTTAAAAAATAAAAGAGAAAAATTTTCATACTAATGGAAAAAAAGTTAAAAAGCAAGTAAAAAATAGTTCAAATCCAAATTATTTCAAATTAGAAGAATTTCTTAGTTTTCAGTATCTATTGCCCAGCTTCTTTCAGCTTCAAAGGATAATTGAGTTCCACTGTTGAATGACCTCCATCATCTAATTTTCTACTTAACAACCACAGACGTTGCTTCTATGAAAAATTTAGTGTGTTCTTATCATGACTTACAGGAAATAAAACCTTCTGCAACATAGAAAGTCATAACTGAAGCCTTCTGAGCTATAAAACAGCAACCTGCTTATTAGTTTTTGGTTCACAGTGCAGTCTTTGATCATTTATTTGTACTATTAGTAGAACTGATTGGGGAGGGGAGTAGAATATATACTGATGATCTGGAATTGTGAGTTATATACAATAATTTACTTTTGAGTGTATGGTGGTATGGGTAGACTAAGTATAGCAGAGTTACTTCCAATTACAGCTTTTTTTTTTAATAACTATTTATTTTATTCTTTATTTATTCATTCATTGATTTTTTTAAATTTGACCAGAGAGAGATAGAGGGGGAGAGTGAGAGATAGAGGAAGTGAGAACGCAAGCCATCAGGTCCAGGACTCGAACCCCGGTCGGCCATGTGGGAGTGTCCAGCGCCTTAACCACCACACCACCTGCTGGTCCCACCAATTACAGCTTTTCCAGATGAATATAAAAATTTATTTTATTTTCAAAGCACAACAATAGTAGCTAATTTGGCAGAGCATCTCAATAATTTATTTAGAGATAAAGAACATAAAAAAAAAAGAAAGAAAGAAATGAGGCCTATAGCTTTAATCAGATTCTTTAAGCTTAGTAGTACCTTCTTTAGTTGATCAGAAAGTTGAATTCATATCATTTGTATAATGGGATTTTTTTTTTCACCTATTTTAGAAGTACTTTTATGTGTAGGATCTTTTTTTTTTTAATTTAAATTGAGAAGGTTAAGCGAGGGGTTAAACATAACACTGGAAGCTTAGCTTCTTTGCAGTATAGATATCAAAACATCTTTTTATACATAATTTTAAGGAATTTAGATTTAATAGGTAATTAATATGACTTCTAAATTTTGATGGCTTTTTAAATTTTGATTTCCACAGGGATGATGATGTTTTATTTGTGTGTGAAGGAGAGCCATTTATTGGTAAGTGACTTCCTTAAAAACTAATTTTAGGAACCAGCAGATGGCATAATGATTACATTGCTGACTGTCACGTAGTCTATTGCAGTTCAAGTCCCAGACTTACAACTCATGCCAGGTGCATGCATGTGCACCTGTACCTACCCAAAATCCTGCGAGAAGAATGAAGAGAAAGGATTGCAGCATGGCCATCCCCTGGGGAGAGATTTCTTGCTTTCTTGCTCTGTCCTTCTTTGTCTTTCTGGCGAGCACACATGCCCTATAGCAAAAATCTCTTAAACTAATTTTGTTTGCTGAAATAATAAAGATAAAAAGCCAGGTATTTTAAATGATATTACCAAGTTTACCATTAAAAAGAATCTTGTAACTGTATTCAGATATTTACAGTGTTTTAAATTCTGCATTGGATATGTATCCTAAAGTAATTACACGATCATACTTTGATATGGATATCGTGTCTTTTACATGCCTTTAAAATGCTCTTGATGGGTACATATTAATTATGACCCAATAGAACAGTTTTGTTTTAGAAACTACAAGTGTCTTGTTTTCAAATTTTTCTTTTTGATAGTAATTGCCCAAATTTCTCTTAAGTGTTATATTTAATACACAACATTATATACTATATTCTCTCCTTCTCTTAGTTTTACTTTTTCAAATGTGTCTAATGCTGGCCTCCGTCCTTTTGTTATATCTCTAGTGGTTGTCTGAAACTCATTCTCTAGAAGAGTTCTCTAAAGAGACCTGTGAGAATAGAATTCTCTGACATCTTACATGTTAGTAACAGTTTATGACTTCTATACTTGAAAATCAGTTTGGGTATAAAACTGTAAGTCAAAGCTTATCAAATTTTAAACTTTATATAGTTTATTAGATGCCAGTCATACCTCAGGGAAGCTGTTGAGAAATTTATGTTACTCCATTTTATTCTGGCTTGAAGTGTTATCATTCAAAACATCTTACCTTTCTTAACTGATTACTTTTCCTAGATCATCCAAAAGATTTTTCTTCTTGAAAGTATAGTAATTTTAGGGACTAGGAGGTAATGAGGTGGTTAAGGTGCTGGATCCCACATCGCCAACTCTGTGGTTTAAATCCTGGACCCAGCAGCTTGTAAAACAGGCCAGGTGCGTGGATACATGCCCAAAATCCTGAGAGGAGGATGGAGGAGAAGGGATTGCGGCATGGCCCTCCCTGGTTGGGAGGTGATTTCTCACTTCCCCTCTCTCTGTCTTTTCAGTGGCAAGCCATGCACCCTATGACAAAAATTAAAGTAAATAAATAAAAAGTATAGTAATTTTTTAGTAGAATAGTTATTGGTGTTTTAGGTTATTCTGGGTCGGTTTTCTCAGGTTTCTAGTAGGTCATTTCAGTGTATATATATTTAACTTCAGAGTCATTTTCTTGAAATTTAAGTTATATATGTTTTTTGCCCCTTTTGCTTTCATGTCCTTCCTTCAGGGCTCCTGTTGTATGTATTGTTGGATCTTAAACGCTTATATTTTACATTTGAAATATTCTATTAAATTCTTTTCAGCTCTTTATTTCTTTTTTACTTTTAAAGCTTTCTGCTTTTTTCTCCTTTTATTTCCCCTAAGGCGTTATTTGTTGTTAATTTTTACAGGGAATTAGTTTTTCTTAATTTATGAAAAAGGGTTGACTTAGGAAAGATTTTATTTTTTTCATTTTGGGACTCTACAGTTCCCCTTTCTTGTTTTTTTGGTTTTGTTTTTAAATGGCATATACGTCACCTTCTGATATTCTGGTTGTTAGACCTTCTTAATTTTTATCTGGACTTCTTTTTCTTTTGTCTCTGTTCCTTCCAACTTGGATTTTTTTCTCCAGCATCTTGTCAGCAGTTTTAAGCTTTCTCCTTAGAAAAAGGGAGTTTGATTGGTTGGTTTTGAGAATTCATTTCTAGCCCCTTCTGATTTTATTGCATACTACTTACCTCACTCACTTTTGGGGTAGGCATACCACTCCCACTTTCAGTCTGCAGCTCTCAAAGAGCATGCTGTTTGTGTAGCTATTGGTGTCAGTAAGAATACTTTAATCTTCTAGTTTTGTTTTAGATGCTATCTGCAGTTTTAAAATTTTGAAATTTGCTGTCCTGGTAGCCCTAGTATGTGATCATGTATGTTACAGTTTCAAAACTATACCACTGCCATCTTTCTAGAATCCTTAATCTTAATGTTTTTATTATTTTTTACATTGCATATCCAGATCCTCAGACAGATTCTAAACCACCCGAAGGATTATCAGGATTGCACACTGACTGGCTAACGTTAAATGTTGGAGGACGGTACTTTACAACTACAAGGTAAGTGCGTGTATCTGTGTGCTAGAGAGAGAGAGAGAGAGAGAGAGAGAGAGAGAAAGAAAAAGGGATACTATGTATTATTTGTTCTTTCCTTCAATTTTCAGAAGTCCCTAAAAGCTATTCAAATGTTTAAATATGCTATGTGAGCTGAAACCATTTTTCAGAACCTTTTTATTTTTTGAAGAAAAAAGTAGAACATGGTTTGCAAGCCATTCCAGAGAAATCATACAAAATGTGAATTCAAGTGTTTTAGAACCTGCTTTTTAGATATTGAGTAATAGACATTCGATACAAGTAAAAATGAACAATATTGAAATTTGTAGAGACTTAAAACTGCTTTATGTTAAAGGAAAAAAATGTTAAATTTGGAATATTTGAAATATTGTGTATAGCTCGCTAGGAGGATAGAATAGTAATTAAAGGAAACTAAAACAATATTTAATCAAAGGAAGTGCCAGATTAGAAAGGATTCTGATAAATGGCAACTTATTGCACGTTTTTGTTTCCCAGCATTACTCCTACCAGGTTATAGCATGCATCTTTTTGAGAGAGCAGCTGGGATCCAGTATACTCTTGACTTAAATATGTTTGTTTATAAAGACAAATGGAGAAATCAATTTTTTTCCCTGAATTCTTAGGAGCACTTTAGTGAATAAAGAACCTGACAGTATGCTGGCCCACATGTTTAAGGATAGAGGTGAGTGTGACATTGTTTCTACAATGTGTGTGATCTGATTATATCTGTCTGTATTTTCTAACTCCTGACCTTACTTTTTAATGATAACCATAATTATCACAAGAGTAAAAGCTTACTGATTTTTACACAATTTTTTGGTCCATATATTTTTAACTTTGTTTTGTTTTGTTTTGTTTTGTGGTTCTCGTAATGATAACCCAGGTGTCTGGGGAAATAAGCAAGATCATAGAGGAGCTTTCTTAATTGACCGCAGTCCTGAGTATTTTGAACCCATTTTGAACTACTTGCGTCATGGACAGCTCATTGTAAATGATGGCATTAACTTACTAGGTGAGTACGTAATATAATTCCTTACATTTTTCAAGTTTAGGATGTTTATTTTTATAAAAGTGAAAGTATATCTTTTCCATGTTTAAGATATTTTCACACACTGGGAACCAGAACCAGCAGTTAGCGTAATGGCTATGTCGCTGGACCCCACGTAGTAGATCGCGGTTCACGTCCTGGATCCGGTGGCTTAAAACTCATGCCAGGCGCGTGTGCGTGCGTGCCCAAGATCCCAAGAGGAGAATGGAGGAGAAGGGATTGCGGCGTGACCATCCCCCCTGGGGGGTGATTTCTCGCTTTCTGTCTCTATGTCTCTCTATCTGTCTGGCGCACGCGCCATATAGCGAAAATCTCTCTCAAAAATAAAAAAGATATTTTCACACGTTTGTGAGTGTATCGAAGCATAGAAATAGATGCAGGCACAGGCGGTCTTTGAGGTGACAGTCTTTGTACTTACAGGTTTATGTCTAATGCATACATTTCCATTTTAGTTTCTAAGTAGATTTAGATTCGATCACAAGGGACTTAAGAGGATTTTTTTTAAAGGTTTTTGCCATACGGTGCATGTGCACACTAAAGAGAAAGAAAGTGAGAAATCACCCTCCAGGAGGGATGGCCATGTTGCAATTTCTTTTCTTTCGCTCTCCTCTTGGGATTTTGGGCACAGATGCCCAAACACCCTGCATGATTTTCAAGCCACTAGGTCGAGGCCGAATTGCTGTTGGCCATGCGGGAATCCAGCACCTTAACTACCATACCACACCTGCCAACCCCTCTTGTTTTATTTCTTTTTTTAATTTAGTTTTATATTTTAGAGAAATAGGGCATATGTGCTCATCAGAGAGACAGAGTGACAGAAAGTGAGAAATTACCCTTTGGGGGGATGGCCATGCTGCAATCCCTTCTCCTCCATTCTCCTCTTGGGATTTTGGGCACACATGCTGCCGAATCCAGGACTTGAACTATGGTCTACTACATGGGATTCAGCATTATAACCATTATGCCATCTGCTGTTCCCTGTTTTATTTTTTAAATTGAACTGTGACTATGTCTTGGTTTCAAGTCATGGCCATTCCCATTGTATTGACAAGTAGAGTACTGAAGACAGGAATTCATGCTTTGGATTCAGTAAGAATGGTTAGAGTCTCAATTTTCCAATTTAGTTGAAAACTACTTTGGGTGCAGTTTCTCTGAGCCCTCTTCGAAAAAAAATGGGTTTTTAAAATACTTTCATCCCAGGGCCAGCGGATGGTGTGGTGGTCAAGGTGCTGGACTCTCACATGGCCGATTGTAGTTTGGGTGCCAGACTTGATGGATTGCTTTCTCATTCTCTCTGTCTCTCTCTGGTGAGCTCACATGCCCTAGAGCAAATAAAAAATAATAATGATAATAATAATTAATAAAAAAAATTTTTAAATACTCTTATCTCTGCTTGACTGACATGATTTTGGTCAAAGTGCATGGAGATGATGTAGACAAGAGCCTTTATAAAGCAGTAGCTGCATATGCAGACGCTATGGGCTTCAAAGTGACTGAATTGGGTCTAACAGAGGTACTTAGGAGTGGTGGGGAGTGCAGCCGTTCTGAGTTCACTTGCCTGCTCAGCTTTGGCTGATTATTGCCATGTGGAAATGTGGGATTAGGGTCCCACAGCTTTGATTTTTAAAGGAAAACTGGATACATCAAATTTTATGTGAAAGTTTCTCATTTTGAAAACACCATATGCCAAATACATCCACATCAGCCAGAGGACTGCTAGACTGCAATCTTATGAAGTAAAATACAAAATACTCAGTAACTTTTCTATTGCTGAATTAAACTTTATATTCCCTTTAAAATGTTGCTATTGAACCTTATATGACATTATTTGACTCTCTGAGCAAGCTCCATAACTTTTCCTAACGAAATTTCATCAACTGTTGCTTTAAATCACTTATAGCTTGTTTTTATTTGTTATTCTGCAGAAATTATTTTTTTTAAAAAAAGTTCTTTACTCTGTACAAATTTTTCTTTCTTTAGCATCTGTATCACTCTGCAGTAGCACCCTCCTTTCCTGAGTTCATCACTGTGTGTGTGTGTGCGTGCGTGTGTATGTGTGTGGTGTTTTAGACAGGCTCTGTGTGTGTGTGTGTGTGTGTGTGTGTGTGTGTGTGTGTGTGTGTGTGTTGTTTTAGACAGGCTTTTGCTGTGTTATAATCTTGCTGCCTCACCCTCCTAAGTAACTGGGACCATAGGCACACACCTGTATGCCTAGCTTTTTAGGCTGAGTCAAGAATGAAACCCAGCCTGGCAAGCAGTGGCATCCATTGTGCACTTCCAAAGTCAGGCCTTCTGATTTTTTTCCCCTTAGGTTTTTGCAAAGAGCATGTATGCTTAACAGAAAGAAAGAGAGACAAAGAAAGGGAAAGTGAGAAATCGCCCCCAAGGGGCGATGGCCATGCCACAATCCCTCCTCCTCTTGCGATTTTAGACATGTATGCACACATGCCCAGTGTGATTTCCAAGCCACCATGTCTGTGACTTGAACCACAGTTGGCCAGGTGGGTGTCCAGCACCTTAACCACCATGCCATGTGCTGACCTGCTTCCTCCTCACCCCCATGAGGTTATTTTAAACCTCAACTTTAGAAGTCCTGTGGGCTCTTTTATTCCTCTTATTTTGATTTTTTCATATATCATTGACAGTATTATATATCTTCCCAGACTAAAAATAACATCAAAAATATATATCCATGCTATCTTAGATTTTTACAGTCCAGGCTATTTACCAAGATCACTTGTTTTTCTTTTTTCACATTTCTTAGCTATTAATATTTCTCTTACTTATTCAGTTGTTCAGCCAGCAGGGCTCTTTCCTAGATTTTTATGAAGTATTTTAATTAGTTCAATTTTCATCCCAGCTTTTACATTTCCAAGTTATCCCAGGTGATTATATGCTTTAAAATAACCCACAGTAATTTCTCTAAGACCAAAAAGGTAGTGAGTGGCAGAGCTGGGATTCAAATCTAGTTTTACTGATGCTAGTAGGAAATACAGTAAATATTACTTGCGCTCCTCACCTGTCCTTTGTGTATGTTTTCTGTATCGATAAAGCTTTACTGGAAATTTTTAAGGTTTAATTCTAAAACTAGAAATAGAAATCTTACCCATTTACTCTGAAGATCTTGGAAAATTAAGAGCAAGATTTCTACAACTGTTTTCATGATGATGGGTTTGCACTAGAGACATATCCTAGTGTAGGTGCTCCTTCTAGAGGAATCCAAAGATTGACCCACCCAGGGGTGGATGGAAAGTGTATTTCAGAGTGGCTACTTGAGTGATATGTTATGGATGGTCATTGTTTCTTAATTGGATTACTGGAATGAGAGTTTTCATGGAAAAGATTATATTCTTCTTAAATATGGATTGTGGTTTTCTTCTCTCCTTGTCTAATTACTCTTACTAGCTTGGAACTGTTTGAATTACTTTCTTTGCAATTCATGAGTCTTTTGTTGTTTGTTTTACCAAGAAGACTCAGCCAACTGAACAACTTACGTCTTCATCAGAAAGATAACACATCCAGATTTATTCCCACATATTCTGATGAAGAAGATGTTTATTAATAGATGTGAGAAATCAAACATATCCAGTCATCTAGAATATAATACATTATTTTGACTAAGTTAAAAAAAGTAAATGATAGGTGAAATTCTTTTTATCATTTAGGAATATTTTTTAGAAATTGGTTCTCCTATAAGACAGATTTCTGAATTTGAATTTTCACTTATAAAGCCAACTTAAACTCTTATTCTTTTCTATCATTTTATGATTCCGTAAGTAGAAGATATTTGTGGCAACTATATTCAGATGTGCTCCATTAAAAAAGCCAATTAAATGTGAAAATTAAATGGACTAATTATTTTTTATTGGATTTAAAGTGAAATCACTAAATCTGTTGTTTTAGTGGTATTAATATTTCTTGTCTATGGCCTATTTAAAGTAATATCAGAAGTAATTTTGAAATATGGGAGGCTTTCATTCTGCTTTATTAGTTTTCTATTTTGTTTAATTTGTACAAAAATCCTTGAAGTATTTTTCAGTATTCTATATATACACTTTTTTATGTTTGGTATAATCCGCATGCACTCACTGAAGAAACAGACAGGGTGAGAGAGAGAGAAAGTGAGAAACATCCCCTGCCCCCCCAAGAGAAATGAACATGCTGCAATCCCTTCTCCTCTACTCTCCTCTTTGGGTTTTGGCCATGTATGCACACCCACACAGCATGTTTTCCAAGCTGCTGGGCCACACAGTTGGTCTTATGGGATCCAGCCACCTCAACCATCATGCCACCACTGACTAGCCCATTTCTGTTAACATATATATACACGTGTGTGTGTATGTATAAATACATTTTATATATATATATATATATATACACACACACACACATATATACATATATATATATATAAACATTAGTACTTTTGTTCTATATTATAGAAGGGAATTCAAATTAGTAAGGCCTTTGAAATTAATTAGGCCTTGAGAGGTGTGCAGACTCGAGATATCAGCTACACTTACTATGACTTTATAATTATGACTTACAAGGAGTTTAGAAGCCTATAAACTAACTCACATATTCTGGACTGTGGAATGGGAGTTTATCGTCACAGAAACTTAATTAGAATTTGTCTTAAACATTCACAAATGGAAAGATTAAAACCACATGATCATATCAATTGATGCAGAAAGAGCATTTGATAAAATACACATCCCTTCATGATTAAGACTCTCAGCAAAATTGGCATAGAAAGGACGTTCCTTAACACAATAAAAGCCATCTATGAAAACCCATAGCTAACATTATACTCTATGGGGAAAAGCTGAAAACCTTTCCATTAAAAACTGGAACAAGACAAGGCTGCCCATTTTCTCCACTTCTTTTTAACCTAGTGGTGGAAGTTCTAGCCAATGAAATTAGATAAGACAGTCAAATAAAAGGCATCAAAATAGGAAAAGAAGAAATGAAATTATCTCTATTTGCAGATGATATGGTGTTAACCATAGAAAATCCAAAAGAATCCAAGATGAAACTCCTAGAAGTGATAAACGAATATAATAAAGTGGCAGGATACAAAATAACATACAAAAATCTATAGCATTTTTATACACCAACAATGGATAAACTGAGACAAAATAAAAGAATGAAATCCCATTTACAATAACCAATAATATATCTAGGAGTAAACCTTACCAAAGACATCAAAGATCTCTATAAGGAAAACTGTGAAATACTTGAAAAAGAAATTAAAAATGATACAAGAAGGGGAAAAAACATCCTATGTTCCTGAATTGAAAGAATTAATATAATAAGATGACGATCCTACCCAAATTAATCTACAAATTTAGTGCAATCCCAGTCAAACTATCAGAGACATTCCTCACAGAAATAGAATGAACAGTCATAAAAATTTGTCTGGAAGCATAAAAGGACTCATATTGCCAAAGTAATACTGTGTAAAAGGAATAAAGTAGGAGGCATGTCACTTCCCAATCTCAATACATATTACAAAGGTGTGATAATTCAAACAGCATGGTATTGGCATAAAAACAGGTAGACCAAAGGAACAGAATTGAGGACCCCAAAATAAATCCCCAAAATACAGCTAACTGATCCTTGACAAAGGGCACAAGACAATCCAGTGGGAAAAACAAAATCTCTTCAGCAAATGGTGCTGGGAGAACTGGATATCCAACTGCAGAAGAATGAAACTGGATCCTTATCTCTCATCACTAACAAAAATTAACTCAAAATGGATTGAGGATCTAAACATAAGACCTCAAACTATAAAAATACTGGTGGAAACCACAGGAAAAACTCTTGGAGACCTTGGAGTAGGCAAAGGCTTCATAAAGAAGACCTCTAAAGCACAGGCAATAGTCCCCAAAATAGATAAGAGAAATGCAAATGAAAACCACGAGATACCACTTAACCCCAATCAGAATGGCTAAAATTAAGAAAATAAATAATGATAAGTCCTGGCAAGGCTGTGATGAAAAGGGAACTCTCCTGCACTGTTGGTGGGAATGTAAATTAGTACAACCACTTTGGAGAATGATATGGAGATTTTTTAGAAACCTACAAATAGAACTACCATACGACCCAGTAACTCCACTTCTAGGTATTTACCCAAAGGATAGAAAAACCCTGATTTGCTAAAACACTTGTACAGCCATCTTTATTGCAGCATTATTTATCATCTCTAGGACATGGAATCAACCCAAATGTCCAAATATAGATGACTGGATTGAAAAAGATATGGCATATGTACTCTATGGAATACTATTCAGACATAAAGAATAATGAAATGCTAAACATTTGATACAGAGCGGGCCAATATATATCAAATGTTAGCGTTTCATTATTTTTAATGTTAAGTGAAGCACGTTAGACTATGAAAGACAGACTTTGTATGTCCCCATTCAATATATACTGATTATGTAGGCTCTATGGCAGAAACTGAAAGTTTGGAAGGTATGGTAGATGTTAGAGATAGTAAGGATAGGGATAATAATGGGGGTGGGTAATGGAGGGAGGGAGGGGAACAGGAAGAAAAAGAAAGAAAAGTATGTTTAATTGACAAAAAAAGTGAAAAGCTATTTGCTGATATGATGTTTATAGTAATGTCTTTGTCTTAACTGATATGCATGGTAGTCATGCTGGAAAAAGAAATGTATACACTGTAAAGATATATGTGATTAAATGTAATATAAAATAAAGAAAGAGTTTGTATTTAAAATACTAACCAATGCAAATCCTTGACAAGGAAAAAAGTAACTGTCTAAAGAACTAGAAGGTTTGGTTAAACTGGCCTTACAAAGATTGGTGTATGAAGCCTCAGTTATTTCCTACTTACCTCTGTCTGAAATAATTGCTAAAGAACACATCTTAATGAAAAATGCGCTGACTAGCTGGAATTAAAGTAAAAGTACCTAAATTACCACAGACTGCATAGTGTTCATATCCCTACTTCTTGCCTATAACCATGTAAATTAAAAGATAGGATGTGTGAAGCAGCAGAAAGCCAGTCAGAAACTTAGGCTGTTCTTGTGTACCAAAGTTGTAAGTTCTTAGAGGAAAGTAGACTTTGTCACCTTCCTTCTTTCCCATTCTCCCTAAAATGAAAATCCCAAATGCTGATATTTTAGAGCACTGGTTACAGTTTTCTGGAGTCCTTGAGCCCAGGTGGCTCATCTTTATGCTTTAGCTTGAGTACACCCTTGTGCTTGTCTGGCAAGCTCCGTCAGACATCATTTGACATCAAGTTGACAACATACTGGTAGCCTACTTGTTGAATTTTAATTCCATTGTCAGACTTTAACATAAAGTCTAAAGGCCCATTATGGTAGCACAGGAGTGACATAGTGCTTCACGATGCTGAGACCACATGGAAACATCCCAGGTTCAAGTCCTGAGGTCTTCCTGAACATGTTGACTGCATGTGTATGCCAGTGATCCTAAGGCTTACTGACGCTGGGTGTGAATTGTGACATGAGGGCCCTGTTGGGGATGCCTGTCTCTCTTTCTCACTCTTTTATTCTTTTACTCATTCCCTCTGTCTCTTTCTTTTGGAAGAAATAAATAGATGGGCTTCAAAGAAAAAAAAATTCTATAAATATCAAAATGGCGGTTGTTTTTTTTTAAAAGTCAAATCATTTTTATTTGATAGGTGTGCTAGAAGAAGCCAGATTTTTTGGTATTGACTCATTGATTGAACACCTAGAAGTAGCAATAAAGGTGAGACTCTTTTTACATTAGCCAATATTACATTTACTGTATCTGTCTACTAAATCCTCTACTAACTGATTATCTTTCTCAAGAACTCTCAGCCACCAGAAGATCATTCACCAATCTCCCGAAAAGAGTTTGTTCGATTTCTGCTAGCAACTCCAACCAAGTCAGAATTGCGTTGCCAGGTAATTAAAGCAGGCTTTTACATGAATTCTTGGTATCAGCAACTCTGTGAGTAAAGTTTTACATTCTTCCAGGGTTTTTGTTTTTTGCCTTATTTACCTTTTTTCATTTGAAATAAAATTTACTCTTAAAATAGCAGAAAAGAGATGCAATAGCTTTTTTTTTTTTTCTCCTTAATTGTCAGAGGACATCTCCACTTGCCAGAGACTGGGAGAGAAAGGGAGAAAGTACCATCCAGTGGGACATAGTGATGGTGTCATCCCTTCCTCTCCATTTGTTCATCCTGTTGAGATCTGGAAGGTTCCTGTATGAACGCCCAGCTTGTTCCTTAAGCCACAGGGACTGGTCTTCAACCCACAGTTGGCCAAGTGGGATCTAGCACTCTTAACTACTAGGCTACTGGGCCAGCCCATGCAGTACCTTTTTTTTATTGTCTAATTAAGCCTTATGTAGCATTTTTTGAGTTATGCATGACAATTGCAGTAGTTAGAAGTCAGTATTAATGTATTAAGTTGCTGGGAAACTCATGACTTTTTTTTTTTTTTTTTTTTTTTTTTTTTTTTTTTTTTTTTTTTTTTTTTTTTTTTTTTTTTTTTTTTTTTTTTTTTGCTATAGGGCGCGTGTGCTCGCCAGACAGAGAGAGAGAGAGACAGAGAGATAGAAAGCAAGAAATCACCCCCCAGGGGGGATGGCCACACCGCAGTCCTTTCTTCTCCATTCTCCTCTCGGGATCTTGGGCACGCATGCACACGCACCTGGCGTGAGCCTAAGCCACTGGGTCCGGGACTCGAACCGCAGTCGACTATGTGGGAGTCCAGCGACATAGCCATTACTCTAACTGCTGGTCCCTTTTTCTACGTTTTTCTATGCAAAAATGTATCATGACTTTGTTTCCCAACAACCCAGTAGTTGCTATATGGCTAGTCAGTGGAAAATGTTTTTATTTTTGTGTATTGTAGAACTATAGGTTTGAAAAAACACAGTATCTACCTTTTCTTAATAAAACTGTCTTAAATTATTTAGTTAATAAAGTAATTTAAGTGTATTCAATTTTAACTAAAATAACACTTATCAGTAGCTATAGGACTAAAGGGATCCCTCTTTAGAAATTTCTGTACATAAATGACGGATGGCTGGGCTATCTTCGGATGTCTGTATGAGTAGAATTTCTTTTACTAAAAACCCATTAAAGACACTTAATTTCACATATCTAAGTTCCATTTGATCATGATTTGTAATAAGCTCCAAATGACTGAACTGCCGATTGCCTCTCCAAACTTGGTGGTTAGCTATAGTAATTAAATTCAGTATAAACAGATGGTTTAAACATTGTGACAGTTTGTGCTTTTTAATTTCAGGGTTTAAACTTCAGTGGTGCTGATCTTTCTCGTTTGGACCTTCGATACATTAACTTCAAAATGGCCAATTTAAGCCGCTGCAACCTAGCACATGCAAATCTCTGCTGTGCAAATCTTGAACGAGCTGATCTTTCTGGATCAGTGCTTGACGTAAGAATCATTTTGGCTACAAGAAAAATTAAATTTTTAGGCTGCTGAATAGTCTGAAAGAGCAGGAATTATATCTGTCTCTTATTGGAGCTTTTACTTAGATGATTTACTATGTCCATAAAATTGAAGGCTCTTAAAGTGAAACGGGTTGGTTTTGCAACTTTGATATTCTTTATTAAACATAGACCTGGTCCAGATGCAGTAGTGCACACTGACAGATGCTTCAACTAGCCAAGCTGAGGGTATATGGGAGGTCTGGCTTCAATTCCTGGCCTACCCTAGAGACTGCCTACAGTCCCAGCTACTAGGGAGGATGAGGCAGAAAGATTGTGACATAGCAAGATTCTGGCAAAGGAAACAAAACAAACACAGACCTGGGAAGGTTTAATAACTAATGAGGAATTAAATCTTGAAATTAGATTTCTGATCTCTTAAATGTAGTGTACTTGAATATGAGGACTTACATTTTCTGTAAATTGTAAGAACCTTTGAGATGTTTCATTTAACCTTGTTTCTGGAATGGAAAAATGTTACTGCTTCAGAAGTATTTGGCAGAGATATTTTGAAATAAACATAGTATATATCCATCTGTGGAAGTTAGCATCTCAATGGTGCTCTTGCCCTCTCTACATATATATGGATACGTGTGTATATGTATGTATTTGCATGTGTATATTTATGTGTTTATGTAACCATTATCTCTGTTAATTAGGGATTAGAGGATATATGGAGAACCAGTGTGAAATCTACTAACTTCTAAAAACTTTAAATTCCTTATTACAAGACACATGTCTGTATGTATTGAATTAACAGCACCTAAAACAATACCTTGCTTTTGGTAGCTACTTAACGAATTATTATTATTTTGGTTTTCTTCCTTAGTTGCGGCTTATTTTTTTTTCATAAAGCTTTATACCAGAGCTAGTAACATCTACCGACACACGTTTTACTTTCATTCTTCTTCCATGTTATGATAGAGTCAAGTCAGCAGCAAAATAAGCAAAGGACTAACAGCACAAAGAACAATTTGGAAACACTTTGTCTTTAAACATTAAAAAATTGAGAAGCTGTTGGATTTTTGTTATGGAGAACAGCCAAAAAAAGACAAGACTGTCACTCAATCCAATGGGTTTTGAATTCTATAATTTTAGTATTACTAACAGTGAACTGAGGCATAATTTTATTCTCTGTAAACTAGGACTTGATGGGAAGCCATATATATATATATATATCCATATATATATATGGATATATATATATATACACATACACACACATGTACATTTATATTTTATATGTGTATGCACATGCATGTGCATATATGTGCACATCCATATGTGTGTACATGTATGTATACATGTATACATACACATGTGTGCATGGTTTGTATATACATATATACTGTATATAGTATTTAATAAAGATTGTATTTATTATTGTGATATTATACAAATTAGTTATTACAATAATAATAGCTTACATTGAACAGTCACTGCCCAGAGTGTATAAGCTGGAAAAGTTAAAACTAATTTCTAATTGTTCTTGGCACATGAAGGCAGCCACCGATAACTACCCAGGTGTAATGCAGGATCCTCAAAATAGGATCTGTGCTAGGGACCAGCAGTTAGCGTAATTACGGCTATGTTGCTGGACTCCCATGTAGTCGACTGCGGTTTGTGTCCTGGACCCGGTGGCTTAAAACTCACACCGGGCGCGTGTGCGTGCGTGCCCAAGATCCTGAGAGGAGAATGGAGAAGAAGGGATTGTGGCGTGGCCATCCCCCAGGGGGTGATTTCTTGCTTTCTGTCTCTCTCTGTCTGTCTGGTGAGCACACGCACCCTATAGCAAAAACCTCCCCTCATGAACTGTGAAACCTTTTCATAGGAACCAGCTGGCTCTGCTGTAGACCAGGGCACTCTCAGTTTCTGTCACTGTAAAGCAGTCTGTCTGTGTGCCACACCATTCTGTCAGGATGCTTTTACTATGACTTAGACATGCACTGCTTGCCATCGTCGACTTTAGCTTGCAGCCTAGAAGCTGATAAAATAATTGAGCTGTTACCTCTCCATTGCATCTTCTTAGTGTAGACATATAGAATAAGAACTGGAAGGGACCTTGATGATTATTAAGCATGATTCTGTTGCCTTTTTACAGATTGAGAAACTGAAGCCTAGAGACTTGGCCAAAGCCCCACGTCTAGTTTTGAAAAGAATCTAAAGAATGCATTTTTATTTTCTTTCTTTTCCTTTTTTAGCAAGATAGATTTTTGACAGGGTCTTACCATTTCAAAATCCTCCTGTCCCAGCCTCCCAGGTTAGCTAGGGTCCATCAGCACATGGTACCACAATCTGTTAAGGTTGGTCCAGGGACTGAACCCAGGCCTCCCATGTGGCTTTAACCTTCAAGTAGCAGCATTTTAACAGTATGCTTTAAAAATTAAAATAATAATAATAAGACTTTTTCATTTGGAAAATGTCAGAAATATACAAAAATGGAGAAAATAGTCTAATGAATCCCCCTTATATTTCCATCACTCGGCTTTAGCTATTATCAGGACATAAACAATTTTATTTTGTCTATACCTCGCCACAGATTTTCTTAAACTAATACATTTCACCTGTACATTTTTATTTTAAGAGAGATTTCTTTTTGCTATAGGGCATGTGTATTCACTGGAGAGACAGAGATGGAGAGACAGAAAGCAAGAAGTCACCCTCCAGGGGGGATGGCCAGGCACCAATCCCTTTTCCTCCATTCTCCTCTTGGGATTTTGGGCATGCACGCACACATGTCGACTCTGCGATTGTCCAGCGACGTAACCATTATGACATTTGCTAGTCCCCACAGGGACCTGAAGAGATAAAAAGTATCTCTTGATATCTTATGACCATTGTCATACTTAAAATATAACAGTAACTAACTCCTTTCATTAAACTATTAATATATCACCTTTCTCCATATAGTAAGACAGCACTGTCCTTATAGCTGCTAGGCTGACTTGACTGAGTTCTAACATCTCAGCTTTGGGACTTGTTTTACCATTCGGTAAATAGGAAAGTGCTTTGTGTGGTTGAAGATAGAAAATGAGTGAGACTTCACAAAATAGCCCTGAGTATAGGAGAGACAGAGATGGAGAGACAGAAAGCAAGAAGTCACCCTCCAGGGGGGATGGCCAGGCACCAATCCCTTTTCCTCCATTCTCCTCTTGGGATTTTGGGCATGCACGCACACATGTCGACTCTGCGATTGTCCAGCGACGTAACCATTATGACATTTGCTAGTCCCCACAGGGACCTGAAGAGATAAAAAGTATCTCTTGATATCTTATGACCATTGTCATACTTAAAATATAACAGTAACTAACTCCTTTCATTAAACTATTAATATATCACCTTTCTCCATATAGTAAGACAGCACTGTCCTTATAGCTGCTAGGCTGACTTGACTGAGTTCTAACATCTCAGCTTTGGGACTTGTTTTACCATTCGGTAAATAGGAAAGTGCTTTGTGTGGTTGAAGATAGAAAATGAGTGAGACTTCACAAAATAGCCCTGAGTATAGACCATTGCTTACCTAGGGAACTTTCGATAACGTTTACGTTTTACCTGGTAGCATTACTTAGAAACTCAGAGACATTAATGGACATATCCATTCCCTATTTTGTTACATTTTTAAATACATAAAATCCAGTCATCCTTGTTATGGACTTTATTGCCCTACGTATCTTGTCAGAGCTGCTGCACTGCCTTGTGTTACAGCACAGGCACACACAGGAATGAGCGGGTATGTGTCAGTTATCTGTGACTGAAATGGTCTCCATCTCATCTCCCTTTGACTAGAACTGACTTCTGGCTGAATAAAATTGCACCTATTAAAAAAGGATTTTTCTTCATAGTGAATGGTAGTAGCATAACTTGATCGGCCTTAGGATTTTAGATTACTTCTCTGATGTAAATATTAACAGAGTTCTCATTCATACAGTGCCTTACGGTTTTTTAAACTCTTTCACATTCATCTTCCTTGAACATCACACTTTGTGAAGAAGATCGGTGTTAAAGTCAGCCGTATGGGTACACTTTCGGGGTGATCTTGTAGTTGTTAGAGTTCAGCTCTAATGGCATTGAATCCTTTGAGATTAATTAGCGGAATTTAAAATTCCAACATACATTTTTCTACCTTTTTCCTTGCTGCTCTGCATTCTGCATTGTGCTTTGGGAGCTCGGGGTTGCCATATAATGTATTAATGACTGGTCTAGAAAGACCCAACAAGCAGCACGTTAGTGACTTGTGGCTAGATGATGCATTTAATTGTGGCATTAATGTTCTGACATTTGAAATGAAGGTATTAGCATCTTGGAACATCAAGACGTTCACTTACTGATTTCTCCAGTAATAAGGAAGAGAGACTCCATATACCTAGCAAGTGTATGGCTTCCTTACGGTACATTTCAACTGTCTCACGTTGCTGTGCCCATGGCTGTTTATAAAAATAGAAAAGGATGGCACAGTCTGACTCTCTCCCTGTATTCCATGTGAAATAGGCTTGCTGCTGTTATTTGGCATTTGTTTCTTTTATAACTGTTCTCAGATTTTACTGGGTTCAATCAGAAAAGTTTTTATCATATCGTAAACAGAAAATAATTGCAAATGTACTGAAATGAACCCCTCCCCCTTTTCTATTTTTTTTTTTTCCTTGTTACTGTTTGAGCCAATTTGGACACAATTATGGACCTTGAAACAAGGACTCTTCTCTTTTCTTTGCAGTGTGCAAATCTCCAGGGAGTCAAGATGCTCTGTTCTAATGCAGAAGGAGCATCCCTGAAATTATGTAATTTTGAGGATCCTTCTGGTCTTAAAGCCAATTTGGAAGGTAAGAACCTATTATCCATATTTGTTCTATGGTAAGAGAAGACCATAAAGAAAGAAGCCTAGGAGGAAATCATTGTTACAAGTAAATCTGGATAGCTGTAGGGAGTAGGGAAATAGTTTTCTTCTCATATAGAGAATTTGCAAAGGGATAGATGCCTCCATTTGGTCTGTCATACACCAGTAAAAATTGAGGGCTTGGGGCCAGTAGATGGTGTGGTATTTAAGGTGCTAGACGAATACATGCCAACCACAGTTCATATCCCAGACCTAGTGACTTGAAAATGACACTGGGGCATGTGCATGTGTGCACCTAATCCCATGAGGAGAATGGAAGAGACTGGATTATGACACGGCCATCCTCCTTAGGGGGGTGCGGGGTGATTTCTCACTTTCCTTCTCACTGTCTCTCGCTCTCTGTTTCTTTCAGGCAAGCACATACACCCTATGGCAAATAAATAAACGAAACAAAATAAAGCAAAAAACTGAGGACTCAGGAAAGCAAGCCTCAGATATGCAGAGACTTTAATTGGAGAATTTAAAATCAGCATCTTAAACTTTCAATTAAAATGAAATATTCTTATACTGATCCAAAGAAAGAATTTCAGTTTGCACAAAGCCAGGAAACCTCTTGGTCATTTGTAGATTGAGTGTTTTATTTATGAATTTTCCATTGCTTTGTTTCATCTGTGAATTAGTCACTTCGTTTACTTGATATTTAGGAGGCATAGTACTTATCACCTAAACTTACAAAGTTACATTATAAAAGTGCCAGTTATTGGGGCCAGATGGTGGTGCAGCAATAAAAAAAAACACTCTGCGAGGCTGACCAACCGGGGAGTGTTCTGGGCTCAAGTCCAGAGACCTCTTTAATCCAGGGGTGGCTAAAACTGAGGGTGGGTTACAGCATCAAGAGCTTGTTGTCTGTGTGTCTCTCTTGCTTGTAGAAGAAATAAATGAATAAAATTTCTAAGTGTTTATTTTCATAAGACAGAATTGAATTCAACCCCTTAAAAATATTGACAAAAATATTCTCAATTTATAGCATAAGCAAACAGATTGTTAACAACGAATTCTTTCTGTGTGTAAGTTGACTAACAGGCTATAGCTCAGATTCATTGCCAAAGTTAAAGGAAGCTGTCATCATTTCCCTCCATTAAGTCATATCATAGTGTTACTGAAAGTGGATAACTGTAAATATTTTAAGTTAAACTGCTCCCAAAATATGTTCATTTTAGGTGCTAATCTGAAAGGTGTGGATATGGAAGGAAGTCAAATGACAGGAATAAACCTGAGAGTTGCTACCTTAAAAAACGCAAAGTTGAAGAACTGTAACCTCAGAGGAGCAACTTTGGCAGGAACTGATTTAGAGGTGAGTCACCCACCAATTTCTAAAGGTTCTTGTTAATCTAGAATTGCTGAGGATCTCACATATAACTTACTGAAATCATAAAGTAGTTATCTGGCAAGACAGGTAACATACCAGCACAGCAGGAGGGATGTTTTCCTTTTAATTACTTATTTAAACAAATTCGAATTCCAGAACAGAATCCAGTTACTTAAGTCATAGATACTAGTTTCAGATTTGAAGATTCATCTGACATTTAATCTAAGTTTATCTTCTTTCTCTCCTTTTCCTTTAATTGTTATAGAGATAAGTTTGGTAGATGTTATAATTTATTGTGTTTTTCATAAATCGGAATTCCAAACAGAATAAAGTGGGACCAGACACACAAACACATACACACACACACAAACACACACACATATATATCAGACATATATATGTAACATATATAACACATATATACATATATATGTATATATTTTTTAAGATGGAATCTCATTACATCATGATCCTTATCTCACCCTCTTGAGTAGTTGGGTTCCCCCCCGCCCCCAGTAGATTATATTGTTGGGCCTGCCCCATAGCCTAGGAGTTAAGGGAGCCAGATTGCCAGATCCCACCTGGCTAACTGTGTTTCAAATTCCAGCCCTGGTAGCTTATAAAACATGCCAAGTACATTTGTGTGCCTGCCCCAAATTCTGATGGCATGGAGAAATGAAGGACAAAGGGTAGTGGTGCTATCATACCCCATTGGGGAGGGATGGTTTCTCTCTCTCCTCCCCCTCACCCCTCAGTCTGTCCGTCTGTCTTAGCTGAGCACAGACACACCCTCCAGCAATTTTATTGTGCATATTTGAGGTTTATAACCATGATGTTAAAAGATATATAGACACAGTAAAATGGTTACCATAGTGAAGCAGATTAACATATCTTTTATCTCACACAGTTATATTTTGTGTATCTGACAAAAGCCTAAACTCTCATTTAACAGAAATCGCAATACTGTACAGTTTTATTAGTGATAGTCCGTATGTATTAATCTCTAGACTTGTTCATCTTACTTATCTAGTGCTCTGTATCCTGTGACCAATTTCCCTTCCCCTCCCTCTTCTCTGGTAACCACAGCATTAGTCTTTACTCTTTGTGTATTTGCCTTTTTTTTTTTTTTTAAGGTTCTACATATAAATGAAATTATGCAAGATTTTTCTTTCTGTGTCTGGCTTATTTTACTTAGCATAATGTTCTCCAGGTCCATCCATGTTATGGCCTTTTTAAAGGCTAACTAATTTACCGTTATGTACGTATGTGCTTATCCATTTATTTACCTATTTCCTTTATCCATTTATCTGCTGACGGACACAGTTTGTTTCCATATCTTGGCTATTGTGAAAAATGTTGTGGTGAATATGGGAGTGCAGTTATCTAAACAAGGTGCTGATTTCATCCCTTTTGAGTATATACCTAGAAGTTGGATTGCAGATCATACCGTAGTGTTATACACACACACACACACACACACATTGCTCCGAGAAGAAGGTGTTAGCCGAATAACCGGACTGTGTGACGGATGCTTGTCTCTCTCTCTCTTTCTCTCTCCCATGTGCATGTTCATGTGATACTGAGTTGTTCAAAAAGTCATGATGCATTTTTGCATAGGAAAAAATATCATAACTTTTCCAACAATCAAATACATCATGACTAAAGAAACAGTTTTTATGCCTAATCCAATTAAAATAATATAATTTACAAATAATATAATTAACTGGTTTTTTGTTGTTGTTTTAAAAATTTTTGTATATTGGGACCAGCTGTTAGTATAATGACTATGTTGCTGAACTCCCATGTAGTCGACCACAGTTTGAATCCTGGACCCAGTGGCTTAAACACACTGGGCGCGTGTGCATGCGGGATCAAGATCCTGAGAGGAGAAAGGAGGAGAAGGGAGTGCGGTGTGGCCATCCCCCCGGAGGGTGATTTCCTGCTTTCTATTTCTCTGTCTCTGTCTGTCTTTCTGGCAAGTGCATTCTCTCTGCAAAACCCTCTCCCCCCCCCAAAAAAAAAAAATTGGCTATTAACCTCTTCCCAGATCTGTGGTTTGCAAATGTTTTCTTAGTCTGTAGACTACTGTTTTATTTTGTTGATTCCTTTAGTATGCAGAAGCTTTGTAGTTTGATGTAGTCCCTTTCATTTATTTTTTGCTTTTGTGCTCTTGCTATAATAACCAAAAAATGACTGCCAAGGCCAGTGTCATGGAGGTGTTCTCCTGTGTTCTGTTTTAGGAGTTTTATAGCTTGGGGTCTTGTATTTGGATCTTTTATCCATTTTAAGTTTAACTTTGTATATGATACGGGTCTGCTTTCATTCTTTTGCATGTGGAAATCCAGTTTTCCTAGTACCATTTAATGATGACACTATTTTTTCCTGTTGTGTCCTCTTGATGCTCTTGACGAAAATTGGTTGGCTACATATGTTTAGATTTATTTCTGTTGTTGAACTGTTTCTCCTTTTATGCCAGTACTATTCTGTTTTGGTTACTATAGCTATGTAACGTCATTTTAAAACAAGAAGTGCTTACGCCTCCAACTTTGTCTTTGTTTTCAGTATTGTTTTGGCTATCTGGGGTTTTGGTGGTTCCATGTAAATTTTAAGGTGTTTTTTACTATTTTTGTGAAAATGTCATTGGAATTTTGATAGTGATTGCATTAAATCTGTTTATTTCTTTGGTAGTATAGACATTTTCACAGTATTAATTCCTCTAATCTATGAACATGGTATATTTTTATATACCAGAAAAATTATCATGTATTTTTGCATAGAAAAACACAGAAAAATACCTCATGACTTTCCCGATGACCCAGTATTTATTAATATTTGTGTCATCCTCAATTTCTTTCATCAGTGTTTTAGTTTTCAGTGTACAAATCTTTCACTTTCTTAAATTTATTAAGTTTATAGGGTTTTGCTTTTTAAAAAAATATTACTGTAAATGGGATTGTTTTCTTGGTGTCTTTTTAAGTTAGGTCATTATATGCTGTTGGGTTTTATATATTGATTTTGTATCTTGCAACTTTACAGAATTCATTAGTTCTGTGTGCGTGTGTGTGTGCAATCTATGGGATTTCTCCATACAGAATCATGTCATCTGCAACTAGAGATGGTCTTACTCATTTCTTTGTGACTTGGATGCATTTTACTTCTTTTTCTTGTCTAATTGCCCTTGCTAGAACTTCCAATACTATGCTGAATAGAAGTGGCAAGAATGGACATCCTTCACTATATCTTAAGGAGGTAGAAAAAGAACAACTAAACTCAAAATTAGCAGAAGGAAGGAAATAATAAAGATCAGAACAGAATTCAGTCAGATGAAGAACAGAAAAATCATAGGAAAAGGATCAATAAAACTGAGTTAGTTCTTCAAAAAATAAATAAATAAACCAAATCAGTAAACTGTTAGAAAGACTAAGAAAAAAGGAGAGAAAATGCAAATCAGACATAAAAGTGGAAACATTATAACAGATACCTCAGAAATAAAAAGAATCATAAGGGATTATTATCAACAGTTATATGACAACAAATTGGATAACCTAGAGGAAAAGAAAAATACAGTCTTATCAAGATTAAATCGAGAAGTTGAAAACTTGAACAGACAATAACAAAAAGCTTAAAGAAGTAATTAAAAACCTTTCCTAAAAAGAAGAGCCCAGAACCAGATGTCTTCACAGCTGAAATCTAATAGTCAAAGAATTATTTTCAGTACTTCTTAAACTCTTTCCAAAAAAACTGAGCTAGAGAGAATACTTTCAAATACATTTTACAAGTCCAGCATCACTTCTACACCTAAACCAGACAAAGACATCTCAAGATGATAAAACTATGTTTAATCTCTGATGGATATTCATCAGAATATCCATGCAAAAATCCACAAAATATTAGCAAATTGAATTCAGTAACACTTCAAAAAGATTCTATACGTCATAACCAAGTGGGGTGTATTCCTGGTATGCAAAGCTGGCTTACCATAATGCAAATTAATCAGTGTGATAATCACATTAACAGAATGGAAGTTAAAAAAATATATATCCTCTCAATTGATGGAGGAAAAACATTTAACAAAGTTCATCCAGCACCTTTCTTAATAAATGTTCCTAACAAGAATAAAAGCAAGGTTCCTCGATATAATAAAGGCTATTTATCAATAACCCATACCTAATAAATCAATGGGGAACAATTGAAAGGTTTTCCATTAAGCTAGACCATTTCTTGAAGTACTTGAGAAATTTAAATGATATCTAGATTTGAAGTCAGATTAAGGAAAAGCCTATTGTAAATTCGCATTATATTTTTAAATTTCAACTTAAGATTTTAATTTTGTTCATTCATCCTTTTTATAAGAATCATATTCTGAGGCCAGCAGACGGTGTAGTGGTCACATTGCTGGTCTCTCGCATGGTTGATCATGATTCAAATCCTAGACCTGATGGCTTGAAACTCACACCTGGCTTTTGTGTGTGTGTGTGTGTGTGTGTGTGTGTGTGTGTGTGTGTGTGTATCCAAACCCCAAGAGGAGAATGGAAGAGAAGGGATTGTGGCATGACCATCCCTCTGGGGGAGGGGAAGTAATTTCTCTCTCTCTTGCTCTCTCTCTCTGTCCGTCTCTCCAGCAAGTGCACTCACCCTCTAGCAAAAATCTCTCTTAAAAAAAATAAAGGGGCAGGGGAGCCAGCAGATGACATAATACTTACATCACTGGACTCCCACAGAGTCGACTGCAGTTTCGAATCTCCAGCTCAGTGGCTTAAAACACTCTGAGCACGTGTGCATGCATACCAAAATCCTGAGAGGAGAATAGAGTAGGAGGGATTGCAGTGTGTCCATCCTCCCTGAGGGGAGGGGGGAGTTGATTTCTCACTTTCTGTCTCTCGGTCTCTCTGCTGAGCATATAAACCCTACAACAAATAATCTCTCTAAAAAAATTTTTTTTTAAAAGAATTATATTCTACCTATCTTCTCGATTTTTTATTTCAGCCAGCATGTTCTATATCTGCTATTTAGTACAGTAGCTACTAGTCATACATGGCTTTTGAGCACTTGAGATGTGTCCGGTACAACTGATTTTAAATGATTTTAAATTTCAGTTAGTTCTAATTTTCTTAATTAGCCACCTGTGGCTGGTGGCTATCACATTGAACAGTATCTCTCTGTACAAGGAAATCTGGCATAAATTGGATCATAGAGAACTGTACTCAAAAGTTAACTTAAAATAATACATATTTTTGCCTTGATCTTTGAAGGGTTTTAGCAGCATTCAAGTAGCAGGTACTTTTTTTTTTTGGAGAGGTTTTTGCTATAGGGCGCGTGCGCTCGCCAGACAGAGAGACAGAGAGACAGAAAGCGAGAAATCATCCCCCGGGGGGATGGCCATGCCGCAATCCCTTCTCCTCCATTCTCCTCTCGGGATCTTGGGCATGCACACACACGCACCTGGCATGAGTTTAAGCCACCGGGTCCGGAACTTGAACCACGGTCAACTACATGGGAGTTCAGTGACATAGCCATTATACTAACTGCTACTGTACCTTATTCTTTATTCCCCATGATTGCTACAAACTTACTGAAAATCATTATCTTATTATCTGAGTACTCTAGAGGAATCAACAGACAAGCGCCCAGTTGTGGTGGCTGTACTAGTATATACATTTATCAAAATTGACTGAACTGTACACATAAGTTGGGGAGTTAAAAAAAGGCCATTATTGGGAACCAGCAGTTAGCGTAATGGCTATGTCGCTGGACTCCCATGTAGTCACCCGCGGTTCGCGTCCCGGACCCTGTGGCTTAAAACTCACACTGGGCACGTGTGTGTGCGTGCCCAAGATCCCGAGAGGGGAATGGAGAAGGGATTGCAGCATGACCATCCCCCCTGGGGGGTGATTTCTCGCTTTCTGTCTCTATGTCTCCTCTCTGTCTGGTGAGCGCACGAGCCCTATAGCAAAAACCTCTCCAAAAAAAAAAAAAAAAAAAGCCACTATCTGCTAGAAAACTATTAGGGCTGTGTATCAGCTGTGATGACAAACACAGATAGAAAATCTGACTTCAGGGTGTGTGGTCAGAAGCTTTCTGGAAATTGATCGAGTTACATTACTAGCAACACCTTACTCGTACGCCTCAGAGATCATTCTGAGAGGAAACTAGATAAAGCCTTAAATCTCTACATTAGCTACATTGTTTTTGTCTTACAGAATTGTGATCTGTCTGGATGTGATCTTCAAGAAGCCAACCTGAGAGGTTCCAACGTGAAGGGAGCTATATTCGAAGAGATGCTGACACCTCTACATATGTCACAGAGTGTCAGATGAGGATTTCAGGGGCTGGAGGAAGATGTCCAAATGAAAAATGTTTGCTTTATCACTTTTCCTTCTCCACCCACTCAGTTGTCTAGAAGAAATAACACTGTAAGGGAATTTGAAAAAAAAAAAAAAGGATTTAGAGGTTTATGCTTGATCTCAGTGGTGCATAAGGGGGAAAAATGACTTTTCCCCCCCCACATTCTGATTTTAACAGAAGAGCACTCATTTAATAGATATAGGGAAATTAGATTGTATTGCTGCCTTTTGACGAGGGTAGGGGGATCGGCCTGGTTTAATGACTAGGAATAGTATATGCTATATTTGCTTTTATTAGGCATAATATGGAAGTACATCTTGGTCTGAGATGCATTTGAGGATTTTAATTTATGAAAAGCACAACATATGCAATTATATTTATTGAATACATAGATGCAGTATGGATATTTAAATTGTTAAATTTTATGGAAACTTTGAAAAAGTTGTTCAGGTTTATAAATAGCTTTAGTGATGCCTCCCCTCTCTAAATACCTGTCAACCTTACCAATATGGTGAGATCAGACTTCCTAAGGCTTTCTTTTCAGGTTTTTAAATAATGTTTACTTTTTAGAACAAAACAGTAGCTAAATTAAAGAAATATCCAGTTCTTACTGATTGAGACAGTGGGAAAAAAGACATCACTGTACATCATTGTCGTGCTGGAAGTGCCGTGGAACTCTTCAGATGGAGGAAGAATTTACCTGTAGCTCCAACTTTTAAGGAAGAATTTCTGAGAATTTCATTCTAGCCAAGTTCCACTCAATATTGGACCAGGCGGTTCCATCTTTTTACACTCTAGGCTAGTTTTCTCATATACAATCAACCCAATCATAGCAAAACACTTCAAACCCAAAAAACCAAGTTGCAGCATTAATATTAATTTAATTCAAATGCCAAATCGTTTGCACAGGACTAGCTTAGAAATTGATGTTAAATCCAAATCCATTGTAATCAAAGGTGTAAAATATGAAGGAATATGGTAGTCACCTTTTAGAAGACAGCATAATTGCAGGGAAGTGAAGAATTTTCAACTGACAGTTTTATTACTGCTACAGGGCAGGAGGAATGAATGAGTACAAAGAAAGGCACTTGGCTGGTCTGAAATGTAATACCAGGCATCAGTCAGCACCTGTGGCTCTTACATTTTGTTCAGTTGGCTGGTTTTGCTGTTGCTGTTGTCTGTTTCATTTTTTTTTTTTAATCAAATTTTAGTCCAAAATTCTGAGTCATTATCTCTTCAGAAGCAGAGATATGGCCCATTACTGTCCTTCCAATAATCTGGTGTCTTTGTTTCCCCCCTAAGAGCAGGGATCTAAGTTGTGTACATATGGGCTCTGAATTCTCCAGGCTCATCAACTCGAGGCAAGGACTCATTAAAAATGACTTCTGTCTCCTTTGGGAGAATGACATATCTTCAGTATTTACGTAGCTTATTCTTCTATATCTACATATGCAAAGCTTTCCTTAACAGTAAAGGGTACATATGCATAGTGGGTAGAGACTGGACCTTTACCGATGAAGGAAAGCCACTTCAGAAATGAATTATTTTCTTTGCTTTATTCTTTTTACCAAGACAGAGAAGTATTGTATTGAGAGATATCTATTTTCATAATCAATATGTGCCTAAATTATATTTAAATCATTTCACTCTGTACTATATTTTCAATAATTATAGAATGTGTTGTTCATTCACATAAAGGTACCTCTGTAGACATAACCTAAAACTGCAGGAGGATCTGATGCATCTAGACATGGTGTGCTTAGAACTGCAGATTTCAGATCCAGTGTATACTGCATTAATAAATGATATGAAATGTTGAAAAGAAGTTTCATCTCTTCCTTTTGAAAATGAGCCATTTCTGTATTTTGCTTATATTTCTTCAATGTATATACTGACAACCAGCCCTGAGAGTCTAGGTAGTGAAGGAAAGACCATATAACTTTTTTTTTTTTAAGAGAGATTTTTGCTATAGGTCACATTCTCTTGACAGAGAAACAGAGAAAGCAAGAAATTACCTCCAAGGCGGGAAGGCCATGCCACAATTCTTTCTCTTCCATTCTCCTCTTGGTATCTTGGGTACGGACATACATGTGCCCAGTGTGAGTTTTAAGCCTGTGGGTCCAGGACTCGAACCGCAGTTGACTACGTGGAGTCCAGCAACGTAACCATTACACCATCTGTGTATATAACATCTATTATAGATTAGTCTATTATAGATTAGTCTCTTTGAAAGCTCCATTAAAATGAATATTTCTTTAAACATGATTATTTTATGATCCTCTTTAGAAAATTCCCATGTTAACAACACAAAAAAATTATTAATTCTGAATAGAAGAAAACACTGCCTTCCCATAAACTCACTTGGTTTGGTCACTCTTTAGCTGACAAATATTACCAATTAGCTTTTTTTTTTTTTTTTTTTTTTTTTTATAGGACTTGTGCACTCACCAGAAAAAGAGAGGAGAGACAGAAAGTGAGAAATCACCCCCTGGGGGGATGGCCACACCACACAATCCCTTCTCCATTCTCCTCTTGGGATCTCGGGCATGCGCACACCCGCACCAGTGTGACTTTAAGCCACCGGGTCCGTGACTCAGACCACAGTTGACTACATGAGAGTCCAGCGACATAGCCATTATGCCAACTGCTGGTCCCACCAATTAGCTTTATTAGTCTGTATGAATAATAAGCCCCTCAAACATTTTTCACCTAACAACTAGATAGGAGACTTCTTTTTTTAGACTTTGCCAGTAGGGCACACGTGCTCACCGGAGAGAGAGATCTGTTGGTCCCAGAAAGGAGACTCCTAAGGAGAGAAAGTGTTGACATAACAGAAGAACCGAGGCAAAATATGTAAGCCAAAGATATTATCTGGGCCAAAGCTAGTGGGCTACAACCCTGGTGCCAGAGATTCAAGTTGCCCTGAATATGTACACAGAGGTATTACAGATTTTAGAATGGTCTTAAAGGCAATAATTGTAAGTGGGGGGAAAGATTACATTGAGAGTTCGCATTGGGTGAAAGGCTTATAGCAAGAGATCTCTATGTACAACAGTTGATTGACTAAACATCCATGATAAGGAAAGTAGAATAACCTCATGGTCATTCAGGTTCCATATGCGTAGGGTGGAGATAGTCTGACTTATGGGGAGAGATCTTCAAATAACTCACGGAAAGGGGCCCGCAGGTGGAGAATGGTTAAGGCACTAAACTCCCACATGGCTGACCGCAATTCAAGTCCCAGACCCAGCAGCTTGAAACTCGGTGTGTGTGTGTGTGTGTGTGTGTGTGTGTGTGTGTGTCCCAAATCCTGAGTGGATGGAATATAAGGGATTACACGTGGCCATCCCCCCTGGGGGCTAATTTCTTTCTTTCTGTCTCTCTGTCTCTGTCTCTGGTGAGCGCACATGCCCTATAGCAAAAATTTCTCAAAAAAATAAAAAAATCTCATAGAAAATATGAAAAACGGCATGGATTTCAAAAATTCTTTGTACTAAAATTCGTATCTTCATTCCATTTTTCCGCAAACTTTTTGGGTCTCTTCCTGGTTGTAACTACTGAGAAATATAAACATTTTGAAGGTTACAGGTAATAGACATGATTGAGGATTTATATCCCAAATCCCCTGACCTGATAAGTTTTAACATTACCTTACATTCCTTACAGTTGGGTTGACTTGCCTCGCTTTCTCAAAAGAAAGTTTCAAAATTGGTGAGACTTCCAGTAACCCTAGTAATGAAAATGGCAGTACATATGGATAAAATAGGTTTTGGAAGGGCTAGAAAAAGGTATTAAACCTATATCAGCTTATTTACATTGATAAAATTCAGTTTTTGAGTAATTGTTTAAGCAATGTATTTTATGCTCTAATGTAATCTAGGTCTTTCAACTATAGTTGCAAGGAAATTTCACTAGGAAATGTTATTAATCCTTATGAAGGCTTCTATGAAATATATATTTGGTCTTCTAGTTTCCTTGTACTGCAATTTACTGGCATACAAAGGGACACTTACCACTTATCTTCAAAGCATTAAGTGCCCTTTGTATGCTAATATCTTGACAGGTATTGGGTACCCCTTAGGTAGCTTTAGGATGAGGACTGGTTACGGTTGCTGATGAGAAGAATCCCTACACATTAGGTGACCAGAGGTCACAGAAATATTTTGTACTGTGTGTATAGGGTAAACAGTATGCCTTGTTTTTAGTTTCTACCATAATTCTAGATTTGGAAAATTTTCTCCAATTGATCACTTTTTTCTCTCTCTCTAGGTTTTTGCCATAGGGTGTGTGCACTCTCTGGAGAGAGAGAAAGAGAGAGAGAGGAAAAGTGAGAAATCACCCCTCGGGGGAATGGCCTCACCCAGATTTGCAGACTTAACCCATGAGTTAATGTTAAATGCACTGTTATTGCCATGTGAAGAGGCACGGACTTTGATACCACCTTCTCAAGTTCCATTATCTTCTCGGGATTCTGGGCACATATGTACATGTGCCCAGAGTGATTTTCAAGTTGCCAGTCTAGGACTCAAACTGTGGTTGGCCATGTGGGAGCCCAGTGCCTACACCACCTACTGACTCCATCCAATTGGTCACTTTCTACATTGTTTATTTGTACTGTAACACTACCCACAAGACAGCTTTAAATAATCTTTAGAAAAAATATATTTCTTTTGGGTCTGGCAGGTGATGTGGTTGGGGGTGCTGGACCTCCCACATGGCTGACCTCAGTTCGAGTCCTGGATCTGGCAGCTTGATTCCTCACTTTCTCTCTCATTCACTCTGTCCCTCTCTGGTCAAATTAAAATAAATAAATTAATTAAATAAATAAAGTTAAATAAAATAGTGTGTGTGTGTGTGTGTGAGAGAGAGAGAGACAGAGCATACAAGAAAGAGATGGGCACCCTCTACAGGAGTGATCTCATCACACAACAGTCTTCTCCCCGCGGTCCTTCTAGCTGTTTAGGATCTTGGGTACACATCTATCTGATGTGTTTTAGGTCAACTTGGGATTCGAACCCACCATATTTTTGTTCAAATTCTATTCATTATAACTCTTAACTACCTAGCACTTGTGTTAGTCTTCCACATAGTGAGAATTAATATTAGCATTGATGCTAAGAGAGATGAAAAAGATCCTTAAATTCCTCATAAGTCACTGAAATACATGGCATATATAGTTTTACCATTTAGGAATGGATAAATTGGTATTAGGTTGTTGGAAAAGTCATGACATATTTTTCTGTTTTCCTATGCAAAAAATGTGTCATGACCTTTCCGACAACCCAATATATGTGCTATAACTATCGTAGGAGTAAGAATTGCATAGGAATTGCATCTTAATGATTTTAGGACCCCTAGTTTGGAATACAGTATCTGGTACATAAAAGACGTTCACAACCTGAAAATTGACATACAGGATTACTCTAGTTAACAATATTTAGTGGGCCGGCAAGTAATGTGGTGGTTGAGGTGTAAGATTCCCACATGGCCAACTGGTTCAAGTCTCAGACCTGGCAGCTTGCTTTCACACTTTCCCCCCATCTCTCTCTCACTCTCTCTCTCTCTCTCTTTCTCTCTCTCTCTCTCTCTCTCTCTCTCTCTCTCTCTATATATATA